TGTGTGTGTGTGCCTGTGTGTGTGTGCCTGTGTGTGTGCCTATGTGTGTGTGTGTGTGCCTGTGTGTGTGTGTGCGCGCGCGTGCGCGCGTGCTGGGTAACAGGCACCACCGTGTCTGTGCTTCAGCACAGTGACCTCAGGGGGCAGTGTGGGCCTGGGTTAGGGTTAGGGCTTGTCCTGGTTCCACACCAAAGGTGGCCCTGTGACCACCAGCAGCCACCACGCACCCCAGCAGCCCCAGCGGGAAAACAAGATGAGTAAGACCTGCCTGCTCTCGGGTCCCGGGGAGAGGAACGTAAAGAACCCGGCAGACAGAGAGGACCCGATGCACAGGAGCGCTGGCACCCTAGCTCTGCCTGTTGGAGGGGTGACTCAGCCCCCGAACCTCAGTTCTGCCACCTGTGAAATGCAGATAACAAAGATGGATGCTGGCCCCACAGCTCTGGACCCTCAGGACAAGCTGGACAGAGGGCAGAGGGCGTTCATGTTTTCACTACTATTACTGGTGGCTTTCCTTCCCAGCCTTTCTGGTGGGTGGTCAGACACAGGGCAGAACTTTCTCAAGAAGGCAGCCGAACGAACTCCCAACAGTTTCTTCCAGTGGGGAGGACAGAGGAAAAAGAAGGGTCTTCCAGGCACCACTGTGGGCCCAGGATGTCGGCTGCGTGGAGGCAGGGGCTTGGATGAAAAGGCACAGATGACCTGACGGAGCATTGCCCCGGCTTCCTCCTCCTCCCCGTTTTGGAGGTGGCTCTGTTTGCCAAGGATGGGCTCTGGGGAGGCTGTTTGCAGAGGCTGGGCGCCCAGCCTTGCTTTAGGACAGCCTCACAAAGTATGGGGCCCTCAGGGGTTTCCCAGGGGGGCTCCATGCTCTGCTCACTCTCGCTCTGCTCTGTGCCCTGACTCAGCGGAAACAGACTTGAACTCCAGGCATGGCCTGCCTGCGGCTGCCAAGCTGGTGCTGGACATCTGCAGAGTCCCTGCGCCTCTCTGCCCTGGTCCTGGCTCTCCAGCCATCTGGTCAGCAGGCCATGGGCACATCTCACATCTGTCCCCTCCCTGGAGCCCGTGGCTCATTCTTGCTGGGTCCCACTCGGTCCTTTCACCTGCTTAGGCCCCTGGGTCTCAGGGGCTTTCTGAGGCTGGTGACCTGGGAAGTCCAGCCTTTCCCTCGGTACAGTGGGGCCATCAGACTGGACGCCTCATATATCCCTGACCCCATTCTCAGGAGCCCCAGGGACAGGCCCGCTCTGGAGGCAGAAGTCGGAAAGGCGGGGCCGGAGCTGTGCCACCGCCAGTCTCCCCGGTAACCTCAGGCCAGCGGCTGCTCCGTCTGGACACCCAACATGTGGTCCCCGGTTCTGGACTGGGGAAGGCGGCCTCCGTGCTCGCTGCTCCTGGGCCGCCGCCGCCGGCAGCAGCCAACAGGCAGCTGGGCTGGCCTGGCCGGGCTCCAGAGGCGCAGAGCGGGTTAAAGTGTGCGCCAGGCCGGCCGGCGCGGGCGGGGGAGCGGCCTGGTGGGAAGTGTGAGTTCCTCCCCGTCTGCCTGACAGCTATAAAGGCGGCCGCCAGCGCAGAGCCGCCACTGGGCTGCGCCCCTCCCGGGAACCCCCTCTCTTGGATGCTCTTTGAAGTGGGAGAGGGAGGCGGCGCAGGGGAGGAGGGGAAGGGGAGAGGAGGCCGGCGGCAGCCTCTGCACTCACGCAGCCCCCACACGCACAGGCACCTGGTGCCGCCTGCCCTCCGAAGCTCTTGCCTCTTTCTCTGGGAGGACAAGCTGCTGGCCCCAGACCAGGTAGGCCACCTTGGCCCCATCCCCTTCACGTTGCAGCCCCCACCAGGCCAGCCCACTGCTCAGACTGGGGCTGGGGGTGGGAGCACCCCGCGCCCTCTGGAGTGGTTACATAACGTGGGGAGGCTTGTGGGGAGGGGTCCGGCCCGCAGGGCACGGGCAGGGTGGCCCCTCAGCACCTAGCCTTGTGTGCCTGAAGCTCTGTGTGCACCACAGACCTCTCTGCTGCCGCCAGCCGCTGCTTTTGGACCCCAGGGAGGGGATGGATCCCCGTAAGCGAGGCCTGGCCTGAAGCCAGCGGTGTCTGGAAGCCTTAATGAAAAGCAAGTGTGAGGCCGGCTGGCACCTGTCTTCAGCCGGCAGGCAGAGGCTGGGGCACCCTTTAGCCAATGGCACAGTGGAGGGGGCTCCTGTGGGTGTGAGGCTGGGGGTGCAGCTGGAGGTCTGCAGGGGAGGTAGGTGGGGGGCAGGCAGCGGGGGCGGGGTGTCAAACTCCAGGGTGCATGGCCATGTCGTCCGAGCTGCAATGGTATCCTTGGAGTAACCGCTGAAAATCTGCAGGTGCCTGGCGTGCAAGGAAGCTTGAGGCTGCTGAGGAGGGAGGGGCAGAGCGGGAGCTGGCCTCTGGGCTGGCAGGGGTGAGGGGTGACCTCCGTGCCTTCTTCTCCTGGAATTAGCTGGGCATGGAGTGGAGTCCCCGAGTTTGCTAGTGTGCTACGCTTCTGTGAGGCTTGGGGTACATTGGGCCCCTCTCTGGGCTCCAGGTTATGGGTGCAGGCTGCATGGTTTCTGAAATCCCTTCTTTAACTTGCTGGCAAGTGACACTCAGCACCTGAGCAAGCCCTGGACAGAGGCCGTGGAGGATCTGTTCTTCCTTCTTCCCTTCCACAGGGCAGGGTCGGCGCCGAGGAGGGGGTGGCGAGGGCTGAGGGCCCAGAGGCTGGACAGTCTTTCCACTGGACTTGATTTGACCCCTGGCAGGTGTTTTGAGCCAGGGGTGCTGGCTGTTGGGAGGGAGGTCAGCCATGAGGCCCTGGACTGCTGACATTCAGGCACAAACTGCACCTCCTCCCACTCCGCCCCTCCCCCAGTTCCATCTTCTCTCCAGGGGGTGGGGAGGCAGCATAAGTACCTGGGTTCTGCCTCGCCTGAGTGCTGGCTGTTGCTGGGTGCTGACTGTGGAGGCTGCAGGTTCCCCTGGGACCTGGCCAAGCTTATCCCCAGGCACTGACCCTCAGCAGTCAGTGGCATCCTCCTACAAGGCCAGCACAGGCTGAGCAGGTCAAAATCCCAAGGTGCTCCAGCCACGGTGCTGGACTGAACCCTTTGAACCACAGCCTTTCCCCACACCTGGGCCCCCAGCCTCTCAGCAGAGGCTGGCTGTCTCCACGGCCTTTCTCCAGGGGTTTGAGGACTCGGAGACAAAGTCTGGCATGCTTCCCTGCACGCCCTCGGATCAAGGGTGGCACAGGCTTAGCACGCTCAGCACCGCTGGGTGTCTTTCCTGCCGCAGGCATTGCTAATCTTTCATCAAGCTCCGTGTTAAGCCTAGACTGGGGTGGGGGGGTTCATCCTTCCCCAGGGTCTGCCAGGCAGCCACAACCAATTAGTCCCAGATACCTTTGAGGCCTGGGCACTGACTGGGCCCTCAGGGCTCTCCCTGAAGCATACCCTGGTCACCTGGAAGAGAAACGGAGCTGGCCTGGTGGTGACGGTGGCCTTGCTTCCTAGGATGGACGGCAGACAGCAATGTCCCTGCTGGGCCTGGTCCCTGCTGGTTCTGGTGGTTGTGGCTAGGGACGCAAAATCAAGTGGGGCCACGGTGAGTGGGGCATTGTGGTCTGAGGGCCCCATGCCAATCCCCTTCCCAGGTGCTGTGTTCACTCCCAGGTGGGCTGGCTTGGAGGGGGCTGTGTGGGCACGTGCGCTGGATCCCAGAGCCCCTCTTGGCTCCCAGGACCTTGTTCCCAGAGCCAGCCAGACCAGCTCTGAACCGGGCCCTGGCTACCCTGGAGCCCCTGGCAATTTGGCAGGATAGGGCAGAGAGGTCTGAGTGCTTCCCTTCCAAGCAAAGGCCCCAGCATGCCTGGTGGGCTGAGTCCTGCAGAACGCAGTGGGCCCAGGGAAAATGAGGACAGTTAGGTGCGGCCCCAGGAGCTGGCCAAGCCCCCGGGCCATCCTGGGCCTTAGGTCAGGGAGGACCTGTGGCCCATGGTTCCTTGGGAGTTCCCTCCAACGCCACCCAGGAGATCTGAACCCAGGCTGCCGAGTGACCCTGTGGGGACCCCAGCCAAAAGGCTATGTCCTCTGGTCCTGCTGGTGATACCCTGGGGCATGGGGTGGGGGGCAGTTTGGCCCTGCTGGGCACTCAAGCCTTCTACTGTCTTGGGGGGCCTCTCACCCAGGACAACAGCCCGACATCCAATAGCCTGGAGGGGGACGCCGACGCCACAGCCTTCTGGTGGGGGGAGTGGACAAAGTGGACGGCGTGCTCCCGCAGCTGCGGGGGCGGGGTGACATCCCAGGAGCGGCACTGCCTGCAGCAGAGGTGCGAGGTCGGGCATGTGGCCCCTAGGGGCTGGCATGAGGGTGAGGCAGTGGGCAGGAGAGGGCGGCCGCCCTTCAGCCTGGTGGCTTCTCACCCTGGGAGTGCTCGCGGGTTGGGGACAGCACAGGCTGAGTCTCCCCGTCAGCCTCTGCTGGACGTGGCTATGGATGGGTCCTGGCACTGGCCCTGGGGTCCTCCATGCTTCAGGGCACGAGGGAAGCCCCTTCATGAGAGGGCAGGAGCTGTTTCTAGGGGTCTGTCCTAGAGAGGAGACCCACCATGCCTTCTCTTCTCAAGACCTGAGTGAGGGTCTTCAGAGAATGCCAGGGAGCCCCTGGAGAAGCACAGGCCCTGCAGTGAAAGCCTCCGCTGCCAGACGGACCCAGTTCCAATCTGGTCTATGTGACTCCCTTGCTGTGTGACCTTGGGCAAGTCACTTGACCTCTCTGAACATCAATTTTCTCATCCATGGCATGGAGAGCATGCTGGTTCCACCTCATACTTCTGAGAACACATAGCGTGTTTGTGCACCCAGGCCCGGGCTGGCACACGGCTGTGCGGTTGTTTCAATTCTGTGTACTGAGCACCTGTGCTGTGTGGTGCTGATGTGGAAGTGAATCGCATCTCACTCCCCCTAGGCTCTGGTGTGTGTCCGGGGTTGGAGTTGAGTAGGGAGGAAGGAGCCCTCCGGGTCACGGGAATCGGGACATTCTGGACCCCAGGGCCGTGCGGCCAGCCCAGACGGCATTCCTGAAACTCTCCTGCAGCCCTCACTCTGAGCGTGCATCTTTCTGCCAGGAGGAAGTCCATCCCGGGCCCTGGGAACAGGACCTGCATGGGCACGTCCAAGCGGTACCAGCTCTGCAGAGTGCAGGTGAGGCCTGGCACGGGCAGGGGCACCATGGCCGGCTCTCCTCCTCGTCATCATGTGGCTTTTAGGGCATCTTCCGGTGGCCCCTGGGCTTCCCAGGCGTTCTGTTCTGGGCCTGCCCTTCGAGGAGATCCCAGGGACAGGGTTGAAGAGAAGGCTGAGGGGAGCCTGGGCTAGGACGGAGCCATCCTGGGTCCAGACCACCGTCCCCGTGCGCACGCGTGCTCAGCAGTGTTGGGGTGGATGCCTTGCTCTGCTCCTGGAGCTTCAAGCGCAGCCTCCGTGTTTGGGGCCTCTGCTGGCAGTCCCACTTTACTCACATTTGTGTGCCTGGCGCCCACAGGGAGGCTGAGCAGTTGCCAGCCCTCCCCGTCCCGTGAAACAGTCCCCTGGGCTGCTCTTGGAGCCCTTCTGCTCCAGCCCCCATCGGCTTCCTTCGGTGGCTGGCCGAGGCTGGGGAGGAGGTGCTGACTCTGATCAGGCCTCAGGGGCAGCTCTCAGTGGGGTCCTGGGCAGTTGGAACCTGAACACCTTTCCAAGAACTGCAGGGCGTGAGGCTGGGGCACGCCATGCTGGGGTCTGGAGCTGCCAGGCTGGCTTGTGTGGCCTGCCTGGGCAGGGAAGGCGGAGCGGCTGGGGGTCTCTGGGGGCGTGTGTGCACTTGCAGGGAGTGAGGGGCTAGAGGGAGGCAGGTGACCACAGCTTCTGTGTTGGCATCACCTGGTCAGGTGCCCTCCTAGAACGGTGCAGCTGGGGGTTGAGGGAGGGGCATTTATGAGCTCTGGCATGAGAGGGACCCAGGTTTGAGTCCTGGCCCCAGACGACTAAGCTGGGTCCCCTAGGACGAGTCTGTTGCCTGCACACTGGGTTCCTCTTTATGAAGCCGCGATCTTCCTGATTCAGGCGGTGTGCATGGCCGCAGGCCAGGTGCCAGGCCCTGTTCCAGCATGGTGGCTACACGGTCAGGGCCTGCTGAGGACAGGGTTGAGGCGAGCACCCATGCCAGCAGTAGTGGGGTCATGTCCCCTCCACTGCAAGGCTGGGAGAAGACATGGTGGGGAACGGGAGGGCTGTCTAGGGCCAGCGGAGGGCTGGTGTCAGGGGCGGAGCTGCCCTTCCCTGCATCCTTGCTCCCTCCAGAGTGTGTGGGAGCACCGAGCGGGTGCATGAGAGGCCACTCCATGGGCCCTGGGCCCTACACGGCTGTCCCGGCTGCAGCCACTTCCTGCTTAGCCTGGACAAAAATGCCTTTGTCGGGCCGAGTTCCTCCTGGAGCCTCCCTGTCCCCTCGATTCACAGGAGTGTCCGCCGGACGGGAGGAGCTTCCGCGAGGAGCAGTGCGTCTCCTTCAACTCCCACGTGTACAACGGGCGGACGCACCAGTGGAAGCCTCTGTACCCGGGTACCTGCCGCCCTGGGGACCCCCCTTTCAGGGAGCTGACTGAACTTTGGGAGTAGCCCTTTCAGTACCCGGGGCCAAACTTGGCGGGTGGGCAGGTGCGGAAATGGAGGCGGTCAGACGAAGAGCCAGGAATGAACCTGGGTCTCCTGAGCCCTGGCCTAGGGGTCTGTCCCCTCCCCCATGACCCATGACTTCAACGTAGGACAGGTCATGGGGCTGAGTTCCCCACAGGCCTGACCTCTGAGGGCAGTGGTGACTCCCCCGTTTATTGCCTCCTGGGCATCGACAGGAACCAGCCTAGACGATCCCATGTGGGGACTGCCCACATAGTCCCACGGGAAGCAAGTAGTTCAGGCAGCAATGTAGATGCTGGGATCATCCTAAGGCTGGGGTGCCCAGGGCCAGCAGCGCAGGGGTGCTTTGTTGGCTCAGACCTGCAGAGGGAGAACCCCAGCTTGGGTCTCAGGCCCTGCTCTCCACTCACAAGGAGGCAGAAGCTGGAGCTCACAGTGTCTGGGCTGAGCCCGACGACTCATCAATTTCTGCCACTGAGACAGGGGCAGGTCCTTTCTGTTCTCTGGGCCTGAGTTGTGCCATCTGTGCAATGGGAGCTGTCTCAGAGGGAAGAGAAGGAAGTCCCCTGAATCCCACCGTGCAGCCCACCTGAGACCTTCTGCCTCGTCTCCCCACCAGATGACTATGTCCACATCTCCAGCAAGCCATGTGACCTGCACTGCACCACCGTGGACGGCCAGCGGCAGCTCATGGTCCCCGCCCGCGACGGCACCTCCTGCAAGCTCAGCGACCTGCGAGGGGTTTGCGTGTCTGGAAAATGTGAGGTTGTTAAACGTTGTAGCAAAAGTACCACCGGTCTCACTGCACCGACTGCCCGCCCGCCCGTGGGAGGCAGTGGCGGCCCCGGGCCTGGCCACAGTGCCCTCCCAGCAGCCTCTCCCTCTCCTTTCCTGCAGCCCATCGGCTGTGACGGGGTGCTTTTCTCCACCCACACGCTGGACAAGTGTGGGGTCTGCCAGGGTGATGGTAGCAGCTGCACCCACGTGACGGGCAACTATCGCAAGGGCAACGCCCACCTCGGTAAGGCGGCAGCGCGCCCTGGAGTCCAAGCAGAGGAGCCTGGGAATCGGGGGTCCTGAGTGTGCTCCTGCCTGCAGCCTCCTGGGTACCACTGGGCAAGTCCTTCCCCTCTAGGGCCACCTGATTCTGCATCCAGGCGGCCCAGGCGAGCTGGCCTGGTGATTGTGGGCCTCCATTGGCTTGCAAGAATGGGCAGCTCTTTGTTGAGGACCTTGTGGGTACCAGTAGGCACCTGGCTTTGGGTTACATTTGCCCTTTGAGGCCGCCTGCAGGGAGGTGTTAACACCACACTTTTTTTTTGAGACAGAGTCTTGCTCTGTTGCCCAGGCTAGAGTGCAGTGGCTTGATCTGGGCTCATTGCAACCTCTGCCTCCCATGTTCAAGCGATTCTTGTTCCTCAGCCTCCTGAGTAGCTGGAACTACAGGCATGTGCCACCATGCCCAGCTAATTTTTGTATTTTTAGTGGAGACGGAGGTTCACTGTGTTGGCCAGGCTGGTCTCAAACTCCTGACCTCAAGCGACCCACCCACCTCCATCTCCCAAAGTGTTGGGATTACACGCATGAGCCACCATGCCTGGCTAACACCACACTTTAAAAAGGGAGAAACTGGTGCCTGAGACCCATTCTCCACTCGGATATGAGATTTGACCCTGGGATGCTGGATTCTGGGGCCTGAGTTTCAGAGGCCCCCTGTTCGCTCCACACTGATCCAGCCCAGATCCCTTCCTTCCCTTGGGCAGCGCCTGTCCCTTTCCTAAGCTGCGGGCATTTGGTCTGACGTTCGTGTCCAGCTCTGGCCCAGCCCTCATGGGAGTGGGTGTCTGGCATGGGACAGCACTTTCTACTTTTGGAGGGATGTCACTCAAAATGCTTGGTGTTCAGCTGAACACATTCTGGGTCTGAAGAAATGCTGGAGGAATGCAACGGCGTTACTGCAACTTCCAGACCGAGGAAGGCAGGGCAGCTTCAGACCCACTTAGCAGGTGGGGAACATGGCCCAGAGTGGGATAATCTGCCAAGGTCCCAGTGAAGCCAGTTGAGTCTAGGTGAGAACCAGTCCTGTTAGGGCCATGGAGGACCTGGCTGTGTCCTGGAGGTGGAGGGAACGGCCTCAGCCTGCCACGTGAGGGGTAACTGTGGCATGTGTGTGTCGGCTCCAGGAAGTGCCAGTGGGAGGGCACTGGAGAGGGTGGGGCTTGGACATGCCACCTAGGGACCAGCATGCCGGACTAACAAGGGGCAGGGTTGGGGCAGAGCTGCCAGGCAGGGGTGTGAATAATGCGTGCTGGGTGTCCAGCAGGGTGAGGTGGGCAGAGGCCTTTCCTTTGGAAGCCTCGCTATAGGAGGCGTGAAGTGAAGGAGTCTGATTTTCCTCCCTTCCTTCCGCAAACCCGCTCCCACAGCCTCCTGCTGGACCCAGGGCATGCAGACGGAGAGCAGGTATTCAGGCAGCACATGTCTCGTAGGGTACCTACTGTGTGTCAGGCACTGTGTACACAGTGAGCCTGAGAGATAGGGCCCCATCCTCATGGGACTCAGCCTGGGGCCTGGGGCTGATGTGCCAATGATCCCCCTAATTCTTCTGCGTGCTCACAAGGTAATGCATTCACGCCTGGCAACAGCTCTACGTGACTGGCAGTATTCCTGTTGCTGAAATGTGCAGAGACAGGCAAAGAGAGGTTAAATAACTCGTCTCAGGTCACACAGCCACGAGAGGCAGAACTGGGGGTGAACCCTGGGAGCCCGCTCCTGGCCTGGGGTCCTCTCAGCTGAGCTACACTCCTGCCCCCAACCAGCCATGCCTGGTACCCATCTGGGGGCCGTGGGATGGGCTGGGGCATCAAATGCTCAGGAATCCTGTGAGCTACTTGCTAATTTGAAATTAAAGTACAACAGCCTATAGTTAAATACATTGTGTTTAAAGCAAAGTCACCATTTCCTAATCCTTTGATGTCTATAACTTTTTTTTTTTGAGACGGAGTTTCGTTCTTGTTGCTCAGGCTGGAGTGCAATGGTGCAATCTTGGCTTTCTGCAACCTTGGCCTCCTGGGTTCCAGCAATTCTCCTGCCTCAGCCTCCCAAGTAGCAGGGATTCCAGGCGCCCACCACCATGCCCAGCTAATTTTTTTGTGTGTTTTTAGTAGAGATGGGGTTTTACCATGTTGGCCAGGCTGGTCTGGAACTCCTAACCTCAGGTGATCTGCCTGCCTCGATCTCTCAGAGTATATAACTATTTTATCTATGTGGCAAGAACACCGTATATGGGTGTTCTGTAGCCTCTCTTCCCAGTGGCATGCCCAGTGACATCATGTTGGTAATGTAAACAGACACAGTGTCAGCCACTTGCTTCAAACTTATGTCTTGAAACTCAAGAGGAAGGAAAAAATAGTTTTAAAACGCATTTCGAAGTTAAGCTGACCGGTTACAGTAGCTTGAAATTGGCCACAGCAGGGGTGTTTACGCCACGGAAACTAACCAATGCTACAAGTCACAGCTCCTGTTACCCCATGTCTCCAAAGTGCCTGTTTTCCAGAGCACTGCTGGCAGTGAGGGACAGGTCATCCAAGGGTGCCTCCAGTGAGGGACAGGTCATCCAAGGGACCTGTAGTTGTGGTGGGATTGAGGGAGGGATGGCAGGCAGGTGCTGGCCTGCAGGAGACACCCCCTCAGGCCGGGAGATGCACGCAGAGTCCTCTGCTCCCGGAAGGATCCAGTGAAACAGACATCAAGCGCCAGGAAACCTCCGACCCGGAGAGCCCCTTCTTTCCTCTCCCAGGGAGTACTAAAATCTCCTTCTCCTGGGGCCCCTCCCTCAGCCACCTGCCGGCAATGCTCTCCTTCTCTGAGCACCTTCCCTCCAGACCCTTGGGAGGACTCTATGACTGCCTTCCCACGGGCCTGGGGGTCTTGAAGACAGGTTCTGAGCCGGCTGCCATTGCCCGATCTGGACCCCAGCCTGGGGCCTGGCACTTAGGAAGGGCATAGGCAGAGTTGGAGATTCTATCTGCGACTCTTCTTGTTCTTTCTCACCCATGTCTTTGAGCCTGGTGAACCCTGAATGTCACTGTGGTGTTGTGAGAAGACAGGATTTCAAAATGGCAGTGCCAATGTGCACAAGATGCTGGCTAGGGCTCCCTCAGTTGCACGGGGTCTCTTGGGTGACACATGCCAGAGTGGGACTGAGCTCCAGTACCTCCAGTGTGTTCTAGGTCCCTGTGGCCTTTGCTGTCCCTGGGAAGGGGCTGGGGCAGGCAGGGATAAGCCCTCCTGTGGCCTTGGTAGGAAGGGGTGAGCCTGGGCAGGTGCCCAGCTTGGTGGATCAGCCTCTGCAACAGGATAGGGCTCAGCTGAGCCACCCAAGTGGGTGTGGGGGGTGGGCCAACCCTTAGACAGCCACCGCTCACCTACCAGGAGCTCGGAGCTGGCGGGTGGCCTCCAAGGGTGCCTTTCCAATCAGGAGGGGCTCACTGTCATCCATTTGCTTCCAGGTTACTCTCTGGTGACCCACATCCCAGCTGGCGCCCGAGACATCCAGATTGTAGAGAGGAAGAAGTCTGCGGATGTGCTAGGTGGGTGTGCAGGGCCTGGCGGCTGCCTCACTGAGCTTTTGCTTGTGTGGCATTGTGTGTGGCAGAGAAGGAGGACTTGACCCTGGGTCCCTCCCTGCAGGACAGGGACGGGCCGGTGCTGTGGGCATGGCTGCAGGAGCCGGAACTTGACCTAGCTCTGTGGGTGCGGCTGGGGTGCTCATAGAGGAGCCAGCTTTACCTCTATGCATGGAAGACCTTGAACTCAAGGCTGCTGGACCATGGGAGGGTGGTGATGTTGGGTAGTGAGCTCCCTGTCACTCGAGAGCCTGGCACCGGCAGAAGCTGGGGTCCGCTGCCGATGAGATCCCTGTGGGGTTCCAGGAATGAGTCTCAGGAGGTGACAAGGTCAAGGTGGCACTGGGAGGAGGGAGGTGGCCAGTCCAAGGTCACCAGCAGCAGAGAAGCAGAGGTAGCGTTCCAACTTGGGGGCCCCATGCTGATCTTCACGCCATTAGACAGTCTCCACTGGGAAGCTGGGCCGTGGGAGGGGAGTTGGCAAACCTGAGGATTCCGGAGTTATTTCCATGATGGATGGGGTGGTAAGGCCCCATCTTGGTGGCAGATTTTGAGTGTAGTGATCCTTGGTGACAAATTGTGGAAGGGCCCTCTGTGAAGCTGGAGCATTGGCCAAGCAATGTGCTGTGTCTGCACCCGTTGGGCCACAGTGGACAGGTGCTGACACCTGTGAGCTGCTCCATGCTCAGCCCTGCCCTTCACAGGGCAGGCTGGGGACCCAGGCTCTATGGGGACACTGTTTTTGGACACAGGGGCAGCCCCAAACGCGACACTACCTGGGCTTACGCCCCCCCACTGCCTCCCACTCCTCCTGGGAGCCAGGACTGGTGGGGTGAAGCCCACCTCCTAAGGGGGTGCTGGAAGAGGAGGCTTTGTTGAAGGTCTTCAGGCCGGGACTCACCTCGGGTTCTCCTGTCCCCTGTCCAGAGCCTAAGGGCCAGCCCTCCATATGTGCCCTGGGGTCTGAGCACCCCCGCCCCAGCAGGTCTGTGCTGCAGACAGTGGCTCCACCACCCAGCGCCCTGGGGTCTGCTCCCTGGCCCAGGTAGGGAGCCGGGCCTCTCGCCAGGCTGATTGCTTTGTCGCTTGCTTGCTGGGAGAGTGGAGAGGCCAGGAAACTCCGCGTTCTCTGAGCTGGCTGCAAAGCTCGCTCTTGAAACAGATGCGTGGAAATACCAAGGGTGGCCTCGGAGTACTGGGAAAGCTGCAGGAAGGAGGGTCATTACTGTCAGGAAACAGGTTTTGGACGAGAGCCGCAGATGGAACCCTGGGCATATACCTGGGAACCGGGCCGAGACAGCCAGGCCCCGGCACGCTCCCAACCCGCAGGACTTGGACTTGACTTTGCGTTATCTTCTGACTTTTCTATGTGAAGGGGGTTTTTGAAGCAGACATGTCCTGCTTGTTGCGTCTGCCTGATAATAAATTAATTGCCCCGGCTCCTCTGTTCATGTTGCATCAGGAATTTGGAAGCTGAACTCCTATTCTCCCACGGGCCAGTTCCTGGAACTGGCTTTAAGGACACCCTGTGGAAGACAGTGTCCCGAGTGCCGGGTCGGCCTCCTCCCTCCGTCCCCAGCCCTGGAGGTCCCCTGCCTCTTCTCATCCTCCTTGGCCCCAGGGAGAAGCAGCTCGCCCAGAAACCCCACCAACTCCAGGCGGTTGCTCCAGCCTGCAGGGGTGGTGGGGAGCAGGGGCGGTGGGGCTTCGTGTGCCATTTCTTTCCATCCTGAGCTTCCATCAGGCTGGAGTCAGGCCCTCGGAGTACCCACCCACCTGGCCTCAGGAAGAGGGTGACGGAGATTGCACCAGGCTGTCCTTGCCTGATTGAGCACCTCGGCCAGGCCTGGGTGCACAGGTTGGGTCAGCATAGCCCTGCCTGCAAGGACAGCAGGAAGTCTCTGCTCCCGTGGAGAGGACGGAGCTGGCCATCTCAGGGCGGTCCCCAGGAAGGGCTTGGTGGTCAGCACCCCACATGCCAGCCAGGTCACGGCGGTCCCCAGGAAGAGCCTGGTGGTCAGCACCCCCCATGCCAGCCAGGTCGGGGTGGTCCCCAGGAAGGGCCTGGTGGTCAGCACCCCCCATGTCAGCCAGCTCAGGGTGGCAGTGCCACTCTGTGTGGATGACCGGAGGGGCACCGAGGTCCCTTCCGCATCATCCAGATGGAGAAGCTGGAGAAAGTGCCTTGCGTGGGGCCACACAGTGGGTCTTCTTCGGAGCCGGACACCTGCTGCCTCATGCGGGCCTTCCACAGGCCACAGGCTGTCCTGCTCCACACCGGGCCCCTCGGTCACGGTGCGAGCTCGTCACTTTGCAGCCCCTCAGCTTCTTCAAAGGCAGCTAGAAAAACAGGACTAAAAGGGTCCCCAACCAGTCACGTTCAGCGTCTAGACGAGTCCTTCACTATTGATTTTGGGCTGAGAGGAACGTGCATTTGCACCGCCTCCGCATTCACTGGCCCAGCTGCCCATGATGGGAGTTTCCTGTCTCTGGGGCATTAGGGCTGGGGTTACGGAGAGCAGGGCTGGTGATGGTTCTCTGAGCCGGTGACACTGGCTCCTCCCCCAGCCAGTCTAGCCCTGGGCCCATGTGACCGGCGGCTCTGTCCTTCCAGCTCTTGCAGACGAAGCTGGCTATTACTTCTTCAACGGCAACTACAAGGTGGACAGCCCTAAGAACTTCAACATCGCTGGCACGGTGGTCAAGTACCGGCGGCCCATGGATGTCTACGAGACCGGGATTGAGTACATCGTGGCACAGGGGCCCACCAACCAGGGCCTGAATGTCATGGTGCGTGTGCTGCAGGCCTCGGGGGCCACGGGGGCCACGGGCACGGCTTCCCCAGAATCCAGCCACAGGTGGGGCTTCCGGCCAGTGATACCTTCAGGGCCACTGTGTGCAGGCGCCCGGCAGCCTCACCACTGCTTGGGTTGGGCCTCACGTTCAACCACAGTTACTCATTCACTTGTTCTTTCGCTAACTCCCTCCCTCATTCATTCACTCACTCAGGTGTTGGTTCATTCACAGGCTCCCATTCACTCATCAATTCATTAATTCATTTACGCATTCACTTCTTTCTCAACCACCCACTCTCTCACCCACTGCTTTTTGAAATCATTCATTCATTCGTCCATCCATTCACTGCAGCTAGCCTCCCCGGTGGACCAGCAGGGGCTCTGTGCTGGCCCATTTCCTGCTCTTTGGGAAGTCCACAGGGAGCTCGGGGCATTAAGGATGAGGCTGGACCCCTCCCCACCCCACGGTGGAGGGGTTTTGTCCCTACCTAGCTTCATGCTCTGCCACCCATGGGCACTGTGGTGTTTGTGCTGGGTCCTCAGTACCAGGGCTTCAGGTAGTGCTCACGGCCCCTCCCCCTCCCCTGATACAGCCTCTCGGGGACACTCAGGACTTCTGGAGTGGAGCTCAGGGCCTGAGCAGTGGGTAGGAGAGAGCGTGGGCCTGTTATGCCCGGCTTGCCGCGAGTTGTATGGCTAGCATCTGGAAATGGAGCCCCTAGTGGTTTGGTGCCCCAGCACCGAGAATATGTTAAGGACTTGTCATATCACCAAAGTCAGGTGACATCAAGATGGGCAGCTGTGGTACCCGTCAAGGCTTGCCGGCCTTCATGGAGGCCAAAGGAATACAGCAGGGATGGAGCCCCCCCTTGCCGCCCCCACCTGAGCTGTTTGGGTTTCCAGATCTCACTGTGGTGTGTTTCGTTGCCTCGAATTGTAGGTGAGGAAATGTGGGCACAGACAGCTGAGTGACTTGCACAGTCATGGAACTGTAAGTGGCACGAGTGGGCTTTGAACCCAGGTCCGTCTGGTGACAGAGCCTGCTCTTTGTTTAGCTGCTGCGCTGGAAGGGTCTCTAACAGGGGATGCACATCCATCTCCCCACCCTGCCTTTTGGTGGAGGAGCTTTTCCAGAAAGCCCAGAATCAAATGGGGGCCACCCATCGCTGCGTTCGTACTTTGACCCTGCCCTGGAGCTGTGCCTGGAGGTGGACTGACCACCTGGCTTCGCCTCCTGGCTGGAGGGACTGTTTTGTAGGTCAGGGTCCCAGGAAATAGACTCTGAGATGGGGGATTGCGTGCAAGAGGGCTTGCGGGGGCAGTGTCAGGAGTGGTCTTGGGTACACTGGTGTGGGCGGGAGGGCATGGGACTAGACAGAGGGAGCCGCTGAACTGTGACAAAGTCTCAACGGGGCCTCAGCCCATCCCGAGGGGTTCAACATTGCCTCAAGTTGGGGCAGGAGGGCATCGTGTATTACCAGGTGTGTTTGCCCCCTGTGGGGAGCATAACCTGGGGAGAGACAGCTCCCTCTGCTGAGGGAAATGCCCGGGGTGGGGCACAGCTGTGAACTGTCTCATGCCCACCCCAGTTCACAGAAGGGTGGGGTACGGGGTCCACTCCCTGCACGGCTTGGACCCACGTGCTTTGCTCAAGTCTACCTTGGCAGGGAACAGCTCCTCTAGATTTGCGTTGGTTTCTTTCTGGGGGAGCCTCACAGGAGGAAGCTCAGTGGGATGAACTGCAGCTGGTGTAGGGGCTGCAACTGATGCTCACGGTTTCCTTCTTTTACAACACGCTCTGTTTCCCCTTAGCCTGGGTTAGCACTTCCGCAGGGCTGGGTGGCTACCTGGTGAGGGGATCCTGGTCTCCACGGCTTTCTCAGTCTGAGGCTGCTGGCTTCATCCAGTTATCATCACAAGGCGCCTCTGCCCAAGAGATACCAAGAGGTGCCCAGGGCATCAGCAGGTGCCACACAGATTCTTTGGCCCCAGGGTCAAACAACACTTTTCCTACTTTTTTTTTTTTTTTAATAGAGACAGGGTCTTGCTATGTTGCCCGGGCTGGTCTTGAACTCCCGGCCTCAAGTGACCCTCCTGCCTTGGCCTCTCAAACTGCTTGGGTTATAGGCATGCGCCACCTTACCTGGCCTCTCTGCTCTTGATGATCAAGGCCTACCACCTGCCAGGACTGCTGCTCCTTTCCATGCTGCTGGTCTCTCGGCGCAAAATGCTCACACCGACCCCGCGAAGCCGCAGCCTAAGGCACCGTGAAACTGTTGCTGTGTCTTTTGATGGAAACATCCCCGCTGTACAAACCGAGGCCTCTAGACCACAGATCCCAGGGCTGCAGGGATGGGGAACACAAGAGCTCCAAGTGGTGGCTAGGAATGATAGCTACTGTACTTCCCCTCCTGCTTCCCAGACCCATGTCGTCCACATACTGGGCACACAGCACCAGGACTAGGCATGGTCAGGGCCAGAGGGCATGAGACAGCTGTGTCAGCAAGGGGCCCAAACTCCCCATCCAAGACTCTGGCATCCACATCCCCTTTCCAGCTCACAACTTGATTCAGAGCTGGGGCGGCTTGGTGTGAGTGTGCAGGCTGGAAGTGTGATCTATTTGACTAAAGCTCCGTCCAGGGCTGGCCCGGAAAAACTGCAGTAAAGGAAAATCCTTTGATTTCTGTGGGTAGTGCCTCACGGGGGATGCCCCATCCTCACAGGTGTGTTGCCTCAGCTGGCACCGTGGTTTCCTCCCCTCCATGGCTCCATCAGGCCCAGTGTTTCCAGGTGTTGCAGTATACGGATGCCCCGTGGCTCTCACTGTCATGTGCCCACTGTGGCACCCCCTCTGCTATCAAGTAGGTCTCTGTCCAATGCCATGTTGTCGGTACCCTGTCTGGGTCAATCAAATGCTCTGTGAGGCCTTGGGCATTGTGGCTGGCTGAGGTTCTCAGGGCAGGACAGGCAACTTTTGTTTAGGACCAGATTCAGCACTTCCCCGTCCGGGATGGATGGGGTCTGATGTGATTAGCTTGTCACCTAGTAGCTGAGTGGCCTCCTTGAGAGGTGGTGCTGTTGACAGGCTTAGTGTGGGTGCCAGAGATTGGACGTTCCGGAGTGGAAGGAGCTGCAGTGGCTGTGGTGCGGGAGAAACCGTGTGCTGGGGTGACACGTAGTTTCCCTCCCTTCCACCACGCTGATTCATTCGCCCATTGTGCCTGCAGCAGGGGGACCGATGCCAGAGACCAGCCTGTGTCCGGGGCGAGGCCATTCTGTCTTCTGCTGGGGTGTTCAGTGCCTCTCGCGTGGTGATGCTTCCCAGCACGAATTAACAAATGAAGACCTCTGTCCTTTATGCCCACTCCCTAGATCCAACCACAGGTACCTCCTCCAGACCTCCTGGTCCCCAGTCTTTGATCCGTCCCATCCAGGCTCTTGACCAGCCAGCCAAGCAATTTGCCACCGCCCATGATTCAGTTAATATTGTCATTTTGGGCTGCTCTGCCTCCATCACACGGATGCCGACATCACACACACTGCCTGAAGCCCATCAGGGGATTTTCCGTCACTGCTCTTTTTCCAGGCCTGCCCTGGATGGAGCTTTAGTTAAGTCACTCCCGCTTCCAGCTTGCACCCCCATACCAAGCCGGCCCAGCTCTGAATCAAGTTTGGCCATTTTTCTCTGATCTCGCTTCGCCATAAGAGCAGCCCCACACAGCCATAGCTGTGAGCTAAAAAGGCGATGTGGGAGCCAGAGTCTTGGATGGGGGAGCTTGGGTCTCTTGCTGACGCAGCTGTCTCGTGCCCTCTGGTCCTGGCTGTGCCTCGCCCTGGCGTAACACTCCCATCTTACGATGGTTTGTTGCTGGCGGAGCTGAGAGGACTCACGTCGGAGGCAGCTCTGGCTGCGTGGGTCGCCTGATGTCCCGTAGCCCCAGTGTTCCATCTCTAGTAGGGCCTCACAGCATGCCAGAATTTTTTGCAAATGATGTATATTTATTTGCTGCAGATGGCGTTGCTCCAGAACCATAGGGTTCTATGTTATGCTTTCCCTACGGGCTTTCCAGAAATTCCATCTGACGTCTTTCCCCACCACAGATATCTCTATTCCTATAGTATCTGCCACGTCACACCACCCACGTGGCAGGCTGCTTACCTCACAGTCTGGATCTGCCACGGGGCCCCCTTCACGCAGGATTCTACTCAGAGGAGCAGCTTTTAATGTCACCCAGCACAGGAATTGAACAGATATTCTTGGATGTGGAGTCTGCTGGCTCCAGAATTATTCTCCATGGGTGGGGGGTATGAGATACCATCATTTTTCCTTTCCTCTCAGAGATGTCTGGCACACCCTAGCCCACTGAACCCTGAAATTTCTGCTAATGTCGGGGGCTGCTGAATCTTCACAGGGTTGAATTTCTGCTCCTCTGGAAGACAGGCGCTTTACCAAGACCTCATCTGAGCTGATAAGCATGGTACCAGCAGCGCAGAGGACCAATGTCCAGTGCTTGGCATGGTCCAGATGCCTTTCTTGGGTATTGTAATTGGGAGCAGGAGCGTAAGTGCAGCCCGGGTCACGACTGTAAATGTACACAGCTGTCCACCCCAGGTGAATGAAACAGTTTCTGGTGCACCTTCTTGACGGGGATAGAAAATAACATATTTTCCAGGTCAGTGGCCGCTTAGGATCAACATGAGGCCCAGCTGATGTGCTCTAGGAGAGACAGTTCAGTGGTCACGCCCCGGCAGCGGAGGCCGCCGCTTGGTGGAGGGTGCAGCATGCATCCAGACTCGGTGGCAGGTCCTCCAGGGTCTGTCTGGTTATTGTAGGGGCTAAACAATTGAGTTAAATGTGGATGTAGTGGGGTGGCTCATCTTGCATCCTATAGGCCAGCCCCCGCCTTCTCCATGCTTCCAAGTGCCACCTAGTAGCGTGGTAGCACTTCTCCCAAAGTTCTCACCAGTGTGCTAAATTCTTTGTTGTGAGAGGATGGGTCGGCAGTCCACTGGTGTCTAGCCCCTTCTCTCAGGACTCCCCTGACTGGGTGAGAATGTGACTTGGCCCAAGCTACCAGTCTGGTGGCCAGGAGAGGGGGCCAGGCCAGGTTCCGTGGGAGGCCCGTGTGGCTGTGAAGGCAGAGGTCTCTGTGTCATCTTCAGGCTGGGGTAGTGCTGGCTTTAACAGGGAGGAATGGGACAGGCCCATTTTTTAGGCCCCGAAGGCTTGGGATGTCTGCGATTTGAAGTTTTCCCCACACCCCAAGTCTTAAGGTTCCCCTCTTCTGGCTGGACTCTGTCCTGGGCATAGCAGGCCCAGCAGAGTTGGGAGGAGCGCGCTCCCTGCTCCTCGCAGGCGCCTCTCCCTATTCCACCTTCCGACGCAGGACAGGGTTGTCTTTCTCTGCTGCTGCATGGACCCTCAGCCTCGGCCTTTCCGTGCTGTTCTTCCATTCTTAGGGTCCTTTACTTCCACAATCCTTTATAACTTTTTAACTCCTGCCCCTGCCCCAGCCAGCTCTCAAACACCAGCAGTGCCTTTCCTTCTCCTGGCATCCCCTCCCGGCTCCCTGGCGGTGAACCTTTTCACAACGGCATCGCCGTCTTCTGGGGGTCTCTGCGCTCCAGGCACGCCCAGGTGGGCCCTCGTCGCCTCTGCCAGCAGGTGATCCTGCTCCAACATCCCATTCTAGAGTCGGCATCCCAGGCCGGCCTGCTCCTGACACCAGCTGGTTTTGGCTGAAATCTCTGGAAACAGCAACTCCTAGAGAGAGGGGCGGTGGGGGTCTGCGGAGGGAGAAGCCGGGCTGCCCCTAGGTCTTGACAGCGGCCTTAGCCCATCCCACAGGGAGCTCTGGAGCGGGGATGAGCCTTCAGTGCTGTCTGGAACTGAGGCAGAGCCTGGGTCTTTGTATTCCCACGTCGACCTGCGCGGAGGGGCTCTGGGTTGGAGAGTGGTGGGAGAGGGTTGCTGTGATTACTTAGGAATCCAGCACGTGGTGAGAAGATAATGCGGGCCAGGCTTTAGTGGGCTTCATTACTTACAATCTCCGCATACAGCATGCCCCTTGCTGCCTGTACCCAGGGTGGGCCATTCCCCACACCACAGTCCCTCAGCCCCCACCCTGTTCCCAAGCTTTCACCTGGATGCTTCTGGGGCGGGGACACTGCACTGGGCTGGGCGAGGCAGTGTGGTTCCCTGGGGGGCTCAGCTAAGTCCCAGAAGGGATGCTCTCTATAGCTCTGGCGGAAGGGGATTGTGGGGAAGGGGCGGGACACAGTGAGGAGGGGCTGGGGTCCCACGTCTCTGTCCCTAGGTGTGGAACCAGAACGGCAAGAGCCCGTCCATCACCTTTGAGTACACGCTGCTTCAGCCTCCGCACGAGCACCGCCTGCAGCCTGTCTACTATGGCTTCTCCGAGCCCGCCTCCGAGAGCTCTGAGAGCCAGGGCCTGGACGGGGCCAGGCTCATGGGCTTCGTCCCGCACAACAGCTCCCTGTATGGCCTGGCCTCCTCCGAGCAGCTGGGCCTGGACAACCGGCTGTTCGGCCACCCTGGCCTGGAGATGGAGCTGGGCCCGAGTCGGGGCCAGGAGACCAACGAGGTGTGCCAACAGGCCGGCGGCAGGGCCTGCGAGGGGCCCCCCAGGGGCAAGGGCTTCCGAGGTAACCAGGAGGAGGGAGGCATGGGAGGGGCTCGGGAGGCTGCCCGGGAAGGGGTCTTGGGGAAGGGGTCTCAGGCCCGTTGCAAACCTGCAGAGGAGGTTCCTAACAGCTGCCTGCAGATGTCCTCTGGGTAGGCGCAGGGTTAAGGACTTGGGGACAGGACCTTCAGTCCATGCAGTCTTTGAGGTACATGTGGTTATCCCCATTTGACAGATGGGGAGACTGAGGCTTAGAGAGAGGGAGTGGCTTGGCCAGGTCACGCAGTCCACTGTGGAGGAGCTGGGAGTCAAACCTGGGTTGGTCTGACCTCTCGCCCACCCTGTTGCTCACTCGGCCAGCACCGGGTCTCACCTTGGCTTGGACGACACAGGGAGCAAAATCTTCGGGGGTCTCAGGCAGCCCCTGGTTGTGGCCGTGTCACTGCAGCCTCTGCCTCTGTCCTCACAGGCCTCCTCCTCTGTGGCCATGTCTCTGTGTGTCCTCTTCCGATAGGGATATTTCTGAGTCCACGATAATGTCATCTCAAGAGTCTTAACTAATTATACCTACAGTGACCTCATTTCCAGATAAGGTCACACTCCGAGGTTCCAGGGGGTGCATGAGTTTTGGGGGGTGCTGTTCAGTCCACTGCAGAAGACGGTTGAACTCCCGTCGGCAAGAGATGGTCAAAGTGGGCCTCATGCCTCTATCTCGGCCGAATCGTGTCCTCTAGTTGGGCAGAAGCTCTCCTTCTGGGAGCTTCTTGGTTCATCCTGGTGTCTCCAGCCCCCTCGTCCAGGTCCCCTCCCCAGGCCTTGCCCCCAGGGCTGGGGCGCTCACAGCTGGGCCACCTGTCTCCTCTCTAGACCGCAACGCCACGGGGACGACTCTCACCGGGGACAAGGAAGAGCAAGAGGTCGACACCCACTTCGTCTCCCAGAAGTTCTTCTCGGCGAACGCCATCTCTGACCAGCTGCTGGGCGCAAGCGCTGACTCGAAGGACTTCACCCTCAACGACACCGTGAACAGCATCTTTGCTCAGGGCACCTCGCGGAGCTCCCTGGCCAAGAGCTTCTTCGTGGATTATGAGGAGAATGAGGGGGCTGGCACTTACCTGCTCAACGGGTCCTACCTGGAGCTGAGCAGCGACAGGATTGCTAACGGCTCTTCCGAGGCCCCGTTCCCCAACGTCAGCAGCAGCTTGCCCACCTGGGCAGGGAACAGGACTCACAAGGCCAGGTAGGAGGCACTTCCCTGAGCCCTGTCCGGGGCCCTCGGGGGCAGGACGGGGCCAAGGCCGGGTCGAAGTTGAGGCCCTGCTGCAGGGGGTCTGGCCAGAAGGTCTGGGGACCTAGAGGTAGAGGAGAGAGGGCCCCATCTTCCTGGGGTCCTCCACTCGCTGCCCCGTGGATCTGAGCACACAGTCAGAGGCCTGGGCTGGAGTGAGCTTTCCCCAAAGGTTATGTCGGTGGATTAGGGTCAGGGCTGAGCCCTGTGTGTGCAGCTGATGCAGGGAAAGGAGGCAGGAAGCTAACAGCTCTGAGCATGCCTTGTGAGCCAGGGACAGAGCTCAGCATTTTTTATGCATGGACACATGTCATTGCCACACCCACCCATAGTGGTGGGGTGGCCACTGTGGGCTTGGAGAGGGTGAGCAGTGTGGTGTACTTGAGGTCAAGGTCACAGAGCCCGAGGACCTGGGGACCCTGAGTTCTAAGTCTGGACAGTCATGGCACACACACCTTTAGGAGGAGGCAGGGCTCTAGACAGCTGCCCATGCGCAGAGCGGCTCAGCCCCAGGCTTCAGCAAAGGCTGGAGAGGATCTAGTGGGTTCCTCCATGAGGGGAAAGACCCCGAAATCAGGGATGAAGAGCAAGGCTGGCATTGCAGTTGGCGAGGGCCACGAGGGAGTCCACCTGGGGCCAGGCCTCCAGAGCCAAGGCCACGGCTGGGGCTGCATGGGCAGCCATGTCTGGGGACGCCTAGACAGTCATAGCCAGGAACACCTGGACGGTCACAGCTGGGGATGCCTGGATGGTCACAGCTGGGGACGCCTGGACGGTCACAGCCGGGGATGCCTGAGCAGTTGTAGCTAGACCTAGAGGAGCCTGAGGTTGGGAGCTTCGCTAGGTCAGGGACCAGCTGTGAGCAGGGTGACTCCAGACCTACCGTGTCCCTGCTGGAGCACAGTCCCTGGTGCCAACGCCCCCAGATACAGCGTGGCCACCCCTGCAGGTCCCCACACTCAGCAGCTTGCCTGCGCCTGGGGGCTATTTTAAACAGGTGATCAGTGGGGGACCACTGGAGTTGGTTTGGCTTTATTTTCTGGGGTGCATCCCAAGCCCCTTGACTTTAGACCCAAGCAGGAACTGAACCAGCCTGGGCCAGGAGAGCTGAGCGCGTCTCCTTGGGGCTTAGGGGTTTGATGGGAGATTCAAGGGTTACTCTCAAGGTGACATGGCTTGGGGCCACCCTCCCACCCATCCAGCTCCTGGGACGGGAGCAACAAAGCCAGCCTCCCTGGTGAGCTATGGGTGCCCAGGGGATGCCTGCCTCTTTTCTCAAACTGTTCTCTGAGGCCTCTGAGATGCCGGGGGCTGCAGGGTGCAGGGAGGATGTCCTGGGCACTTCCAGCGGGCTCTGGGTGGAAACCCTGCTTTGCAGATGTGAACAGAGTGTGGCCTCGGAGCCTCCTCCGGCTGCCCCTCTTCCCCCAGGGGTGGCACAGGGCTGTCTGCTCACCCTGACCCTGGCATGCTCAAAGCCTTAGGTGGGTGGGCCTCTGGCTGGTTCTTGGGACTTGGGCAGGGAGGGCTGGGCCTTGCTTTGGGTGCAGTGTCTGAGTCTAAGAGGGGGTCCTGGGCAAAGTGCCTGCCCATGGGAACGGGGCTTCTCAAGGCTGGCCGTCTTGTTTCTGCGTCTTCAGCGTGGGCCCTCCTCACCTCCCAGGGCGGTCCAGGGCGTTACCTGGTGTTTGGTGTGTGAGGCACACGGTAAGGCCTCCCGTAAGTAAGTCGAAGCTCTCAGTAGAAAATTGAGCCTCCAAGTGGCAGCAGTGAGGGGCACCTTTCAGGACCCCTCGCCTGGGTGGGGGAGGCCAGCTCTCTGACGGTCAGAGCCCTCTGAATAAGTTTATCAGAGTGGCACTGAGGCCCCGCTGTGCAATTTGGCTTACTGCATGGGCACTGTGTGAGTTGAGTATCTCTGCCTTCCTCTGGGCCTCAGTTTCCCCATCTCTCATTGAGGGGCTTGTCAGGGGGTGCCCACAGGGCCCACTAGCTCAGATATTCAGTGACCCTCAGGCCAGGGTCGTGGCGCAAGCTTTTGGATCATCAGGCCGCTTTGTGAAGTATCTCTTCTGCCCCACCTTGGTTGACTCTTACCCTCCCCTCCCAGTCCCCCACCCTGGGATGTATTGGATTTCAGTGCCTGTCGGGGCCTCGGGGATCGATCAGCTAGGTTGTCAGCACTCAGAAAGGCCCCGGCTGCTGAGATACCGCTGCTCCCCGGGGCCTGCTATCAAAGGATGCTGCCGCCCGGGACCAGAGGTGGTCTGGAGACATAAAGGCAGGGGGGGCGGCGGGGAAGCCACCAGGCCAAAATAGCCACGTCGCGGCTAAGTTGTCCAAACACAGGAAGTCGTGTCTGCTCAGGGAAGGCAAAATCAAAGGGGCAGCCCAGAAAGGAAAGGCTATTTTCATCTTTCCAGAAAAGCTTCAAACAATCAAGGGAGGGGCCCCTGTCACCAGACTCCGACTTTGAGAACAGGCGTCTGAGACACAGAGACTGGAGTCCCTCTCCACAGCCTTGTCGGGGAGAGGAGAACAGAACACTTTCTGGCCCATTTATAAACAGACACGGTGGCTTCAGAGCTTCTCCTGCCTGGGGAACCCGGGAGCCTGTGTCTGGCCAGGCAGCTGGGCCGAGGACCCTGAGGAGTGACAGGCGGTCCAGAGCACCCTGGCGCCGACTCCACAGCCGTCACCAGCCCCAGTCTAGCAGCTCCGACTTTCACAGCTGAGAGGGGCAGTGTCTTCCTTCCAGATGGAGGCGAGCGAAGGGTTGGTGGTTCAGCAATTTCCTGGGTGTTCCGCTTCCTTGGTGCTACTCCCAGGAACGGAACCCGCTAGGCGTTGCATTGTTGTGCAAATATATGCAGGGTTATGTTCAAGAGTTGCATCTGCTCTGCCCTACACGTGCTGCTGCGAAGTGTGTGGGCAGCCCCTCCAGAAATACCTTTGGTGCTTAAAATCCAAAGGGTTATTTTGAACCAGGTCCGCTCTCTCTTGAGTCAGGCATGAGTCACGCTGCCTGCTGGCTCAGAGCGTGTAATGAGATAAAGATGGCGGAGCGTCTCCCAGGGTGGGGGTGGGGGGGATCTTTCTGTTTCTTTTTGTTCTTGGGGAGAATTTAAAGCTGTTGAACATTGGTGGGGACCTGGCCAGCACAGTTCAGCGTTTTTCTGAATCAAGCGTTAGGGGTCTGTCTTCTGGGTCCTCCTTTCCCTAAAAGAACTTACTCATCCCCATCTGGGTTCTCTGAGTGGCCCCCATTGGGGCAGCTTTCCAGGTTTCCAGGGAATTTTGTTCTGAGATGACAGGGTCTTGGGAAACCCCCCACCCACCCCCATTTTAACATTGCCTCTGATTTTTAAAGAGGGAGGAGAAAGCTCTTTCCAGAACCTTCCCCTTGAAACCTGTGATGGGCTGGAAGAGACTCCTGGCGTGAAGCTCCCAGGGGAGGGAGGCTTTGGCCCCCCGGCTTTGGTCCCCATCCCTCTCCTCCCACTCCCCCTCCCCCTTCCTCAGCTTAGGGAGCCACACTGGCGAATTCGCTGCGGAAGCTCCTGTGGGCAGATTACTTCTGGGGTCTCAGATGTGCGGTCAAGGCAACGTTCACCCTAAAAGTTCTGCTTGGCCTTGGCCTCCTCCCATTCCAGCCCAAGCGAAACAGAAGAGCAATCCTCACCCACTTGCCTGACAAACTGTAAACTCCCCGTTCAATCCAAACCCACGTTCTATCACGGAGTCATCAGAAAGCCCTTCCGAATGTAATACTCTAAGCCTGGCCACCCCCCGGGCACTGAAGGTCCGGAAGAAGGACCTGTGGCCTGGCCCACATTTCAGCCCCGTGACGTGTGGCAGCTCGGGATCATCTCCAGTCAGCCCCTCTGGGCACAGAGGAAAGTGGAGTGGGGCAATGCCACCTGCTGCACCGTCCAGTTTAAAAAGGAAGTCGAGGCCCAAAGGACCTGCTGTCCACAGGGCCGGCTCGCCATCGCCCCTTCTCTGGCCGGGGGCAGCAGGACTCCACAGCGGCGTCCGGGAGCAGAGGCTGACCTATGGAGCTGCCGCCTCTGCTTCCCTCCTCCCCTGCCAAGTCCAGAACGAGCCCGCATGTTGGATGTGGAGGTTGGGCCCAGGCACACCTACTGGTTCAAAGAAGAAAACAGTCCTAACAATAGTTGGCTTCGGCTGCGTAGGCTCTGGCCAAGAATCATAGCTGGGGGCTGGCTGGGACCCAGCGGGCCTCCCCCAACCCCAGCGGTCTGTGCAGCCGTCGCCAACCCAAATTGCTCTGTAGCCTGTGGCCACGCCCCTGCCAGCGGCTGAGCTTTTTAATTTTGATAATTGGAGGCTGGATGCCTAGTGTCCCCTATTCCATCGGAGTCCCAGCTGGAGGAGGGGGTAGGAGAGAACTCTGGAACATTCTCAGCACATAAGACACCTTCTGAGGTCCCCTCCCGGGTGGGAAGAAGGAACCGGCTAGCTGATGTGAGAAGCCTGCGTGTGTTCGGGGAGCAGCTACGGTGCTGGGGGCCCCAAATTCTCAGGCCACCCGCCGGAAGGAGCTTGGGCAGCTCCCATGCAGTTACTGACACGGAAAAAATCCCAGTGTCTGTTCAGTTGTAAAATGTGTCTCTCCGTGGGTGCGTCACCCATTCTACTTCAGACAGTGGGGACTCTGACTGTTGCAGGTGGACAGGTGTGTGCTTCCGGCGAACATGCCCTCCAGTGAAAACTCCCTGGCCTGAAACACCGGTGCCCACCAGCGAGGCCTGGAGTTTCTCGTCACCCTCTCTGCTTGATCTTGCTTTCAGGACCAGGCCCAAGACGCGCAAGCAAGGCGTGAGTCCTGCAGACATGTACCGGTGGAAGCTCTCGTCCCATGAACCCTGCAGTGCCACCTGCACCACAGGTACTGGTCCCGGGTGCCATGGGTGCCAAGGGGCAGTGACTGCCCTGAGTCCACTTCCACGGATGCGGGCCGGGGCTGTGGGGCCCGCCCACTAGCTTGCAGCCCCAGACTGCCCTCGGGGTGCTTGTCTGGTGGCCTCCTGACTTAGGGGCCGTGTGGCGTGATAGGAGTTTGGGTTCCTGGTGAAGCCATCCTCATTCTCACAGTGGGCTAGATCGTGGTCAGGCCCAGGCCCCCGGGGGTCATCCAGGCCACCACCAATGGTCCCTTGCTGTTGCCAGCAATACCATGTTTTGTTAGGGCAAACATCCTTTGGGTTAAAAGTAAGAAATCTCAGGTAGCGGGGATTTTACTTTTGTTCCCAGCAAACATAGGAGGAGAGTCATAGGCTCCTATGATCTATGACAAAGGGAAGTGGCCAAATTCTAGGACCTCACCAGCAGGAGGGGAGTTAGGAGGAGAAAAAAGACCCTCCTCGGTGGTGCTTGGACAGACAGATGCGTGTGGTTAGTAAGTGCTGAGCTGAGATTTGAACCCACAGCTGTCTGGTTGCGCAGCCACGTCGCCCTGAGATGCTGGCCACAGCTGCTGGGAGCTGGGGCTGCCTCTGCCCACTCTGGTTCCTTCCCCTAGGGGATGCTGCAAGGTCAGATGTCAAACCAGGACCAGGCTGCAGGGGCATTGGTGGGAGAACATGCGGAAGGGAGAGCCCCCATGCCCGCTCTGAGGCCACATTTTATCTATTCTTGGGCATCATGTTTGCATGTAGATGACACCCAGTGGCCCCTCAAGAGGTTTGATGTTCCTGGCCCCACCCTGGTTTCCCCCGTTTGCCCGGGCTTTCGATGCCCTTGCAGTCTCTGGCCAGTGAGGATGCCAGGCAGCTGGGCAGTCTGAGCTTGGCTGCACCCTGACCAGCCCTGCTGGCATCTCAGGAGGTGGGCCTGAGAGAGGGAGGGTGGAGTGGCCCTGCAGGCGCTGCTGGCACTGGCCTCGGCTCTCTGGGGCTGAAGAAAGGCCTCTGTTGTAAGGCCCCCAAGCAGGGCATAGCCATGGGGCATGCTGTGTTTGCCCGTGCACCTGGCATTCTGGAGGGAAAAGCAAGTGCTGTGGGCACCTGGATTGGCCAGGCTTGCCCTGCCTGGTTGACCACACCACAGGCAAATCATCAAATCTCCCCTGCTCTCCACCTCAGTTTTCCGCAGGTGAACTGAGACATGTACTTATCCCACAGGTGGGCTGTGGGGATCAATATAAAACAAGAAGTCGCCTCTCGGGCCAGGCTCAGTGGCTCATCCCTATAATCCCAGCACTTTGGGAGGCTGAGGCAGGTGGATCACAAGATCAGGAGTTCAAGACCAACCTGGCCAAGATGGTGAAACTCCGTCTCTACTAAAAATACAAAAATTAGCTGGGCATGGTGGCAGGCACCTATAATCCCAGCTACTCGTGAGGCTGAGGCAGAGAACTGCTTGAACCTGGGAGGTGGAGGCTGCAGTGAGCTGATATCGCACCACTGCACTCCATCCTGGGTGACAGAGTGAGACTCTGTCTAAAAAAAAAAAAGGAAATAGCCTCTCATGGTCAGAACTTGATGGGTGCTGCCATGGTGGAGGTGGCTGCCACCCCCTGATGCAGGCTATGGCTTCCAGCGCACCCAGAAGCAGCTGGCCTCGGAGGTGAGCTGTGTGACCTGCCTTCCGGGCAGGCCCCGAGGGGAGCTGAGCATGGTGGTGGGGTGTCTGCAGGGGGATCTGCTTTGCCAAGTCCGTGTTGGACCTGCCCTGAGTTCCTCCACACACCCTGGCCTGGGGACTCCAAGCATGTGGGCGTTGTCACTAAGTGTCTGCAAGCATCTGTGATTCCTCCCAGACACATTGCTGGCTGGGGAGGGGATGCTGCACAAGACGTCTGCAGGCTTAGGCAGCCTGTGGCGAGAGGCCTGATGGGCAGCCCTGTGTGGAGGATGTCCCCAGGCGGGGAGGGGGCTGCTCTGGGACTGTGCAGGGTGGCCCACAGCGCAGCAGGGCAGAGGACAACAGGAAGTCAAAAAGGCAGGTTTTGGCTCGGGAAGAAGGAAGCTCTGCTTTAGAGGAGGCTGTTCAGGAATGGAAATGAGACACCCTGTGTAAGTGTGTGTGAGAGAGACAGAGACAGAGACAGAGAAAGGAAGGCCAGGAGGGAGGGGGAGCTCCCTGTCACCATGGGAGGTGCTGAATGGCACTGGGCAGAAATAACAGAATCAGGGTCTGCATAGGCTGTGTCTGTGCAGATGTCCCATGTGGAGTCTCTGCTCCCCATCCTGTGCCTTGCAAGAACCCAGGCAAGGGACACTTTCATCGGTGGGGCGGATCAGCCTGCCCCGAGCTCCGGCCATGGTGGGAAAGCTTGTTTTTAGATTTTTCTTTGAAGATGCTCTTTGGCAGCCACAGCAACAGAGGGGCGTGATTTCGGCCTCGGGTCCGGTCACAGGCGGAGGTTTCTGCTGCCCTTCGGGCTCCAGGGCGCTGGGGTGAGGACAGTGATCTCACAGTCCCCCGGCTTCATACTCCCCTTTCTTTTGTTTCCAGGAGGGGCTCTGTGGCTCAGGGGGTTGAAAAGTGCCGTTTTTGAGATGGGTGTCATGAAGAGGGTGCCCAGAAAAAATGTCCTGGTATTTGAGTCTCACAGGCTCTCTGGAAGGTTCCCATTTTGGGAAGGAGCAAGCTGGGGCTGGAGCCTGGTTATGGTCACATCACCCCAGGGAGGCCCTGAGGTGGGACGTGGATTCTGGTCTCTCTTGACCAAGTCCTGCCCTCCATAATGGGGAGCAAATGAATAACCAGGCACTTGGCGATGGCCTGCAAGTCCCCAGCCCCACACCTCCCTGGGCCCCAGAGCGGGTGTCTCTGAGGCCTGGAACATTCCAAGCAGACCTGACTGGGAAGGCTGCCTCCCCCTCAGAGAAGGCTAAAGGCTGCACGGCCCAGCTCTGGCGGGAGAGGAACTGTGATCGCAGCCTGGCTCGTCCTTTACGGAAAAAAGAAAAAATCCCTTGTCAGCTGCTTCCCAGGCTGTCTCGTTCCATCCAGGGCTGGGGCCTGGAGAGGCAGGAGCCGCTGGCCGCAGACACGCGCCACTGGGTGGCTGGGCTCTCTGGGTATGGGGAAACCGATTTCCTTCTGGGGGAACTGGCAGCCGCAGCCAAGACCGTTCCGTGATGCCCGACATCCCAGAAGGCTGGGTCTGTCTCCCGAGGCCACACACACACGCACACATGCACAGCAGAAGCAGCAAACCCTAACCCCACCCCAAGCCTGTTCCCACTGCTGCTGGCTCTCCCAGAATCGCCCTCCTTCTGGGCAGGGAGCTGGGCCTGTGTGGCAGCTCGGTGCCAGGGAAGGATGCAGGGGTAAGGATAGAAGCAGAAAAGGGGGTGTGGTCAGGGAAGTGGCACTGCTAGGTGCCCATCACCCACTGTAGAGCACGGGGCACCAACAAGGACAGGCACACAGTGATGACTAAAGAAAGTTCAGGCCAGGCACTTTGGGAGGCTGAGGAGGGCGGATGAGTTGAGGCCAGGAGTTCCAGACCAGCCTGGCCAACGTGGTAAAACCCACTCTCTACAAAAATACAAAAATGAGCTGGGCATGATGGCAGGTGTCTATAATCTCAGCTACTTGGGAAGCTGAGGCAGGAGAACTGCTTGAACCTGGGAGTGGGAGGTTGCAGTGAGCCGAGGTGATCGCACCATTGCCTTCCAGCCGGGGCCGCAGAATGAGGCTCTGTTTCAAAAAAAGTAAGTTCAGGATGATGCTTGCTGAGTACTGGGGCATGCCACAGAGTGGAGGGAGGGCCCGGACACCCACCATGATCTCTGAGGAGGCTGGCGGGGCGGGAGCGGTCAGGTTTCACTCCCGCCTGCCCGTCACTGGGTGGTTGCTGAACGCCTGGTGATGGGGGCCACCTGGCTGTGTTTGCCTCTGCACCTCCATGGGGGCCAGTTGGGCCAACTCAAAGCCCGGACTCTGTGACATGGGAACTTGTGGCCCAGCCTGGGTTGGTGGGGCGGGGTAGGGGTGGAAAGAGAAGAGCTCAGACCGGCACAGCTCAGACCCACAATGCTGCCCTCATGCCGCAGTTCCACAAGCTGTGACTGATCCCCAAGCCAGAAAGCTGGGCTGAGAGGTCAGGTGACTTGCTCCAATCCTGTGGCCTGTCTGCTGGCCTCCAAGGCACCGGCATGGCTCACAGGCCCTCCCCTGTCCTGAACCCAGGGGTCATGTCCACGTACGCCATGTGTGTCCGCTACGATGGCGTCGAGGTGGACGACAGCTACTGCGACGCTCTCACCCGTCCTGAGCCCGTCCACGAGTTCTGCGCTGGGAGGGAGTGCCAGCCCAGGTACCTGCCATCGGTGGCGCTGGGTGGGGTGTTGGCAGGGGGCATGCGGGGCTCTGCCCACAGGAGCAGTCAGACTTACCCCCCTGCCCCTTAGAGGTGCTTTGTGTGCAGGGCCGTGGGGGCCCTTCGAGGAGGGGCATAGAGACCTCACCCCTCAGAGACCTGAGTCTTTCCAGGAGTTGCAGTTTAATCTGTCACTGTGCCTTGTACACAGTAAGTGCTCAACAAATGCTTACCGTAGATTTAGAAACCATTCTCCACATTACTCTATATTATAACGCTATCTTTGCCCGACCAGGCCTACTTGGCGCATGCAGGATTTTTATAAGCCTGAAGGGATTATTGCTGCGATTTCATGCCTGCTGGCTGTCCCTTGGATGTGGGTGGCCTGTTTTCTTGGCCTCTGGGCCTCGCCTCCTGCCTTGTGGATGCAGTCGCACTGAGCGCTGAGTGCACACTATCCCTAGAGACAGGTGGGGTCCCCAGAGGAGCCTAAGAGTGCCGGCCTCCCCCGACAAGGCTCACATGCTCCTCGGAGGCCAAGCCCTCCTGCTCCCTGAGCACAGACACGCTGCCTCTGCATTTCTGGCCTGCTCCATCCCAGGCCTCCCCCTTCCTGCACGTTTGCTCCCGTCTGGGATGGGCAGAACGCTTAGGGTCCCCAGAATGCTGCTAAGGCCAGCCCCGGGTGGTCCTTCCTCTCAGAGCCCATCAGCTTTGCACCTCTTATTCCAAGTCTGTCTGTCTGGAAGGCTTCAGGGTCTCATCACAACCTACCCAGCTGAGGCTGAGGAGAACGAGAGGTCTTTCCCCAGCATGCTGGCCAGACCCACTTTCTGGACGCAGATCCAGAAATGTGCCTTCTGCTCACTTCCACCCTCGCCAGAGTCCCATGGGGCACAGCCACCTGTGTGACACAGCAAGGCACGAAGGGGCAGGAAGGAAAGCTGAGTGCATGCTCAGGGCACCCGACGACCGTCCTGCCAGGGTGCTGCCTGAAGACCACCTGGGCGGTCATGGCCCAGCCCGCACCCTTGGACCTCGCCAGCCTCCCGTCTGGCTTAGCTTGTTGCGGCTTTCGACCACATGGGGGAGGGAGGGAGGGAGGAGCTGTGTCGTCTCTGGGGGTGTGGGTTGCATGGGGTCCTGGCCGTCACTTGGGGGTCGCTGAAGGCCATCCACTCCCGGGGCAGGTGGGAGACGAGCAGCTGGAGTGAGTGTTCCCGCACGTGTGGAGAGGGCTACCAGTTCCGCGTCGTGCGCTGCTGGAAGATGCTCTCGCCCGGCTTCGACAGCTCCGTGTACAGCGACCTGTGCGAGGCAGCCGAGGCCGTGCGGCCCGAGGAACGCAAGACCTGCCGGAACCCCGCCTGCGGGCCCCAGTGGGAGATGTCAGAGTGGTCGGAGGTGAGCGTCTGCGGGAGCAAGCCCGGGGGCCGGAAGGGCCGGGGGGCTGGGCACGGGAGCTGGAGGTGGCTGCACCTGCGTCACGCCTCTGCACCCCCGCCCCCTGCCGCTGCAGTGCACTGCCAAGTGTGGGGAGCGCAGTGTGGTGACCAGGGACATCCGCTGCTCGGAGGATGAGAAGCTGTGTGACCCCAACACCAGGCCTGTTGGGGAGAAGAACTGCACGGGCCCCCCCTGTGATCGGCAGTGGACCGTCTCCGACTGGGGACCGGTGAGGGCCGGGCTGCAGGGAGGCCTGCACCGAGGGGTGGCTGGCGTGTGGGGCTGGTGAGAAGGACCCAGAGACTTGCCTTGAGGTGCCTCAGTTTCCATTTTTTCCAAGGCAAGGGTGTGAGGTGAAGAATGCCCAACCAGCCTTCTCCCCCGTTATTGTGTGAATCAACACCTCTCCCCAAACAAGTGGCCAGCATCACCCTCCCTCTGTAGCCTGTTTGTCTCTCGGTGTCTCTGTTCCTCTGTATGTCTGTCTCTGTTTCCCTGTCTCTGTTTGTCTCTGAGTCTCTCTTTCCCTATCTGTGTCTCTCTCATTGAGAGAGAGCTGCTCAGATGCTAGCTGGGGTCCCCTCTGGGTGGTGGGTGCACAGATGATCTTTTTAAGTGTGCTTTTTTTTCTCTGTGTGCTATTCATCAAGCATGATTATTTCTGTAATTAGAACAGAAAATGTTATTTAAAAAGTGGTTACCATGGCAACCGCTTCGACACTGCCTGGGAGCCACTCCTCTCCTTTGGGACTGACATCTAGGGCCCCTCCTGGCGTGGCTGCCTCTCACCCAGTGTCCCCTGCCTGCCCTTCCCCCCTGCAGTGCAGTGGAAGCTGTGGGCAAGGCCGCACCATCAGGCACGTGTACTGCAAGACCAGTGATGGACGGGTGGTGCCCGAGTCCCAGTGCCAGATGGAGACCAAGCCTCTGGCCATCCACCCCTGTGGGGACAAAAACTGTCCTGCCCACTGGCTGGCCCAGGACTGGGAGCGGGTGAGTACCCCAGAGTCCACTGGAGGGCCTCCCTGTGCTTGGAGAGCATTTGGCCAGAGAGGAGAGCCAGGTGGCTGGGACAACAGATGGGCGAGAAAGAGGAATTCTCTGCACATGATGGAGGCACGATTTCCTAAAAATCATTCTAGAATACAAAAGGCTTAAAAGGTAGGAAAACACCTGATCGATTCCCAAATCCCAATTTTGCATGTACTTTGTGATTCGTGCAGAATTGGCCTTGCCCCCAGCCTGGGTCCCCAAGTCCCTGGAATGTGGAAGGCTGGGGTCAGGGATTTTTTGGGCTGCCTGCTCCTGCGGCCTGTGCCACCTTGGATCGTGACCACTGTGTCTTCCCGCCCACCCGGCATCATCACCCACTTCCCATTTCAGCTGCCTCGAGCTCTGCAAATTGCTTTCAACCAGGAGCCGCAGGCAGATCACTAAACCAGATCATCTCCAGCCAAATTGTTTTCTGCTGAATTGATTTTGGCTAAATTGTTGTTGGCCAAATTGTCATTAGCCAATTTGTTTCAAAACAGATTGTTTTGTGCTAAATTGCTTTTGATCAAATCCATTTGGGGCCAAATGGTTATCGAACAAAGAGTTCTTGGCCAGTCTGTTACGCACTGGAGCATTCTCACCCAATTGCTATTGACCAGACCCTTATCAGCAGAGTCGCCGTGGGCCCCGTGTCGGGTCCTGCCGGGCCCTGGCACTGACCCAATCCCTCTGCCCCGGCCTCAGTGCAACACCACCTGCGGGCGCGGAGTCAAGAAGCGGCTGGTGCTCTGCATGGAGCTGGCCAACGGGAAGCCGCAGACACGCAGCAGCCCCGAGTGCGGGCTCGCCAAGAAGCCTCCGGAGGAGAGCACGTGCTTCGAAAGGCCCTGCTTCAAGTGGTACACCAGCCCGTGGTCCGAGGTGAGCTCCCGCTGCCCCTCTGAGGCTGCCTGAGACCAGGCCTGAGTTTTGATCCTGCCCCTCCTGCCTCCAGCTTCCTTAAGTGCTTCCCACCCCCCCTCCCCAACAGCCTCTGTCGGAGCTTTCCGTCCCAGGAAAGCTTCTCAACTCCACCACATCAGCTAGTGTGAGAGCCACCGCCTCCAGGAAGCCTTCTCTGCTCTTGTCCCTGGGATCCCTACAGCACTCGTCCTGGGCCTTTTTGGGTCCAGGAACTCTGGCCTCTGAGTTGCGTGTTTGGCAGCCCATGTGCCTGACACCATGGGATAGACAGACCCCAGGTGGGCACGGCAGGAAGACTGGGCTGAGTCAGACACGGGCCTGGCCCTCCAGGAGCCACCGCCAAGGCAGGAGCTTGGGATTTAGGGAGACGGTAACAGGCATACACCCCAGGTCAGGACGCTGGCAGGGCCAGAAGGAAAGGCAGCAAATCTCCTGCGTGGGTCCCACCCCTCCGAGATTCCTAGACTCTTGAGCCTCCAGAATGCCCAGCTCCAGGATGTCAGGCAGGACAGAGCTGAGGTCTCAGCTGTCTGTAGAGGGTAGCTGAGCCCTCCCATCCCATGGCCTTGAGGCACGTGTGGCAGCTCTGGCCCAGCTCTTGGCCTGAAGAGTCCCCTCTCCCCCAATAGCGCCATGAGAGGGGCCCTTTTCCCCATTCCTCAGAGGAAGAATCTGACATTCAGAGAGCTCTCTGGCCCACTTGGGGTCCCACAGTAATTGGGGGCTGTAGCAGGCACTGTTGCCCAGGCCTGTCCAGCCCTAGAGTGAACCCCACGTGGGGTGTGACATCTGCAAGGGAAGAGAGGCCTGAACCAGCTCATCCCGAGGGGCCCAGAGCAGGGAGCCCCGAGGTGGGTGGGTAGCCCTGGTTTCACAGAGCGGGTGACAGGCTGGGCATCCCCTTGCCCCAATTGTCTCGTAGAGGAAAGAGATTGCTTTCACCTCCCCTGCTGTGTTCCCCTTCTGCTCCACTTCCCATGGGACCTCCAGGTGGCTCCAGGGCCCCACCCTGAGCCAGTGGGTGCCCCTCCACCTTCTGGGCCCCTGGAGGCTGTCCTGTCTAGACTCCAGCTTGAGTAACTCACATCAGCCTCTGCGCCCCTTTCACAGCAGCACCAGCCCTGGCCCCAGCGCCCTCCCACCTAGCGATGCCATGAGCTTCTGAGAGGGGCACCTGGGGCATCCACAGGGTCTCTGGGAATGACTGGGCAGGGACTGCCACAGCCAGGCTGTGTACCTGGAATCTCCAGCTACCTCTGGCCTCAGTTTCCTCATGGGCTAACTCTGAATACCCAGGCGACAAAATAGGGGTGTCAGATGGGGCTCGGAGCCTGGAATGTTCTCGTGTCTCAGGCCCTGGCGCCCGAGGGCTCCACGTCTTGGTTGCCAGATCCTAAACCTTATGAGTTCAAGGCAGAGAGTCCAAGAGTCTGTGAGGATTGAGCTGGGGACCCCAGCACGGCCCTGCTCAGAGAGTGGGGCCCTGGCCCTGGGCTCTCCGTGCACTCTGCGTGGCGTGTGGCCTCCATCCTGCCCCTGCCCAGGGCCTCTGCCTGCCCTACAGCACACATGCTTGTTCAGGTGGAAGAACACACCCTCACTGATTCCCTGTTGCCCACTGAAGGACCTCCCAGGCGAGGAGAGGAAAGACTGAGGGCAGGCCTGGGGCTTCCCAGGGGAGACGGGCTGAGCCAGGGCCAGACGAGTGGGCAAGCTTTAGTCAGGAGTCAACCGGCAAGACCACGGTGTGCCGGGGCAGGATGGCTCCTTCTGGAAAGGCCGAGCCTGGTGGGAGGGGAGAGTGGGAAGGGGCAGGGAGGCTGAGTGGGGTTCCAGCGCCCTAGGGAGCCAGCTGAGGCCTGTAGTTTGGGAAGAGGGCTGGCTTCAGATGCAGACCACTGCGGGGCCAGGAAACAGGGACCCTCTAGGTGCAGGTACCTTGCTGGGTGATGAGCATGGCGTGGGGGAGCCATGAAGGGAAGACCCCAGAAGAACATCCTGGGGTGCTGGGGAGGGGAACCCCCAGCCCCGATAAGGAGGTGGCACGGCCGGATGAGGCGTGGCTGGCAGAGACAGCCGGTGGGCATGTGGATGCCTCCTTCCTCGTGGTTGCCCCAGTGCTGCTGCATAGTGGTGGCTCAGTCAGTGTTTGTTCCCCCAGCTGCCCAGTCCCATCTGCTCCCCAGGGGCAGAGGAGCTGGCACCAGGGCTGGCTGGGAATGTGCTGCTCTCCAGAGGCACGTCCAGAGGCTCCTTGGGACCCTGCCAAAGGCTGACTGTCCTCACGCCATCAGTGCCAGGCCAGCCTCTTCTTGCCCACAGACCATGCCAGCCCCCACCCCCTGGCTTGGAGCAGGCAGGCGGGCAGCCGTCTTTCTGCCAAGTCTTAATCGGTCCTCCCCGCTCCTTTGCAAACAGAAGTGGAGAGTGGGCCCCAGGGCTGGGGCCTCCCACCCCGCCCACCTCAGAGAACTGAGGGCTGGGGTCCCAGACGTGCCTGGGTGATGTGGGGTCACCCATGTCGGGGGGAGTGTGAGGGAGCCATCTCCTGTGGGATCTTGGCAGGAGGACAGCAGGGTGACTGTGGCCAGCAGATGTCTCTGGTGTTCTGGGGAGCTCAGCGGGGTTTTCCAAGGGGAACATCTGGTCGGTGAGCCACTGGAGGGGTTGGTGGCTTCTTGAGATGCATTCTATCAGCTTATGACAAACGGTCTGCACCACAGACCCAGGAGAGCTGGGCCCAGGGGACCCTCTGGGAGATGAGAGAGGAGGGACCACCCCTCACTGTGCACCTGGGGAGACTGAGGCAGCCTTGGGTGGGAGAGAATCAGAGCCCCCTGACCACCTGCCAGTGCCCTTTGGTCTCCACCTCAGCTCGGCCTGGGGCTGCAGGTCTAGTTTCCAATGTGCTTCCCCTGGTCCCGTGTCAGCTGGGTCCACAGCCGCCTGGGAAGGGTGGGGTGGGAAAGCGTGAATGTGCAGGTTCCCTGCCTCCTGCCCAAGCCTTGGCCCCATCGGGGGGCTTTCCCCACACCCACTGTCTCCCACACCAGTGCACCAAGACCTGCGGGGTGGGCGTGAGGATGCGAGACGTCAAGTGCTACCAGGGGACTGACATCGTCCGCGGCTGCGACCCGCTGGTGAAGCCCGTTGGCAGACAGGCCTGTGATCTGCAGCCCTGCCCCACGGAGCCCCCAGGTGAGGGGCGGGGAGGCAGAGGTGGGCCTGGGGCTTCCCAGGGAGGCGAGGGCAGAGCCAGGGCCTGAAGGATGAGCAGCCATCGCCCCCCTGGATGGTGAGCCCGGGAACCAGCTTGAGAGACCAAGGTGTACTAGGAGCGGAGGCCTCCTCCCTCGTGGCTGAGCCCCGCTGAGAGGGGAGTGGGAAGGGGGGTGGGGGATGCCTGACTGGGGCTCCACAGCTCCAGGGAGCCATGCTGAGACCCATACTTTGGGGAAAATGTCAGCTTTAGATGGTGGGGCCACTGTGGGGCCGAGAGCTGAATCCAGGATGATTCAGCTGGAATGGCCAGGCGCTGGGACATGGGGCAGGGAGGGGAGGGCACCTGAAGGCGGGACAGGGGACAGGCTCCAACAGGTGCCACGTGCAGGGTGTGTGATGAGTTCTGCTTTGGATACATTGAGTGGTGGACGGGGCAGCCCCTGGGGACCCCTTGGGGACACTTAGTCCTTGGGTGCGACCTCTGTAGCTCCTCTAGACCCCAGCCCCAGGCCTCACCCCTCTTGGGACACAGATCAAATCACCTGGCATGATTGGGGAAGGCGACCACTTGGGGACAGATAGGGGCTAGGAAAGAGGTGGCAGAGAGCTAGAGATGAAGGTCTGTGTGGGGTGGGAGGCTCGCTGCCCCTACCCCTGGAAGAAGACACGTGAGGGTCCTTGGGGTTTTCACCTGTCGGCCACCTCCTGAAACTGCCCCGCTTCGCCCTGTGTTCCTTCTCCAGATGACAGCTGTCAGGACCAGCCGGGCACCAACTGTGCCCTGGCCATCAAGGTGAACCTCTGTGGGCACTGGTACTACAGCAAGGCGTGCTGCCGCTCCTGCAGGCCCCCCTACTCCTAGGTGCGGCAGCTGCAGCCCCTTCCAGACAAAGACCAAGCTGCTGCAGCTTCTGGGGTCCTCCACAGACACCCCTCCTGCAGGGCACGCCAGCCTGAGGGACGTGGCACTGAGCCTCGGCTGTCAAGAGGGGACTTCCCATGGCCAATGGACTTTTGTGCTCCTGGGGCAGAGAAATGGGCAGTGTCCTCCAGCACCCACTGGCCTCCCCCAAAACAGAGCCACCCCTACCGTGGGAGCCCATCCGTGTTCCTGCGTGGATCCTGTGTTCGTGGCCCCCCTCCCCAGCCCCCAGCAGCCCCCAGCTGAGGGGTCCAGGGCCCACAGCCAAGTGGTGGATGTGTCTTACCCCTGGCCTGAAGCCCATGCCCTCTCTGGGTGACAGGGCCTTCTGAAGAAGACTGGCAGGCAAGCCCAACGTGGGGGGCCTCCATCCCTTGGAGGCCAGGGGGTGAGGAGGGGCGCAGGCAGCAAGGAGGCCCAGGTGTATCCCCTCCTATGGAGCCCCTCCCATGGAGCTCTCCTCCTGCTGCACTTTCTACCCTGGGCAGAGGCGCTTGCCCATGGGGCGTTTGGGATGGACCTCGGGCCCCGCCCCTGCAGTCGGGTCAGTGCTCATCTATGTTAATAAAGTGGTCCTATTTATGGCGGCATCGTGGGGTCTCAGTTTCTTCTGGCTGGAGGAGTGGGCAGCCTCGGGGCTTGGCCCAGGCATGGCCATGTGGGGTCTCTCCAGCTCACTGAGGCCTCAGATGTGGGGTGAGGAGGGTGCAGGTGCAGACAGAAGCAACAAGGGCCCGGGAGCGTGCGGGGAGGGCGTTTGGGGGCACCGGGACAGGCGCTGGAGTAGGAGTGGAGTTGACATCTCAAGCCTGTCAGCAACTGGTACAGGAGCTGTGGAGCAGGGGCTGGGGACCTTGGCTAAGGTGTGGGGCACCCACTGGCAAGCACGTTGGGAAGAAGAGAGGAAGCCAGGAGGTGTTGGGGGCACGGGGCTGGGAAACAGCACCATCACTGCCGTTCCTGGACCTCAGGGGGTGCTTCCTGACCTGGACACGTGGGTGCAGGGACACAGGGGCCTCTGGGGAGGGGCTGCTCAGCTGAACCAGCAGCAGGAGTGGCTTTTCCCAGATGAGAGGGTGGGAAAGAGGACCCCGGAAAAGTGACACAGCCGGAGGATGCCGCGTGGGAGGAGGGACCCCAGGAGGTGTCTCGGTGCCACAGGCACCTGGGAGGTAAGTGGGTGCCAGCTGCTTCCTTGATGTGAGGCCAGCTTGTCCTGGGAGCCAGAGCAGGGCCCCCCACAGCTTTGGGACAGCTTCTGAACGACTTGGGGCTCTGGGGAAACTGAGGCAGTACCCCCCCACGTGTATTCTTGCCTCTGGGTGTGACTGCACGCATGTGCGTTGAGGGGCTGCAGTCGGGATGGACCTTTCAATCCCTGAAGCCCAGGAGTTAGAGGCCCCTGGTATGGACTTGCTCAAAATCACCAGCTTGGGCCGGTCAGAACCGAGTCGCTGAGACCGGGAGTCTGAGGCCTCTGCCCACCTCACCCTGTGCCCGCCCTCACCTCGCTGCTCTTCTCTCCTCTCTCCCCCAATGCACATCTTCTGCCTGTCTTACTTTTTTCCTCCCCGGCGCCTCCTTTCTGCCAACACTTATTGTATACTTACTGTATACCAGGTTCTGTGGCCAGCACAGGCGCCGCCTGGGTTTATGTTCCAAAGGTCACTACAACACAGGTATCATGGTCACTGCATTGTGTGGAAGATAAAACTGAGGCCCAGAGATGCTCAGTCACTTGTCCCAGGGGACCCAGCCTGTCCCCGACAACCCTCCGTCCAGGGGCTCAGAGTCCACCCTGGTCCTTCCAGCCCCAGGCCCCAACTGTGCCTCTGCCCAGGACACGTTTGCATTCAATGAGCCTTATGCCTGCCACAAGCCTGGGTCTCCCCTGAGGACAGGGATTCGAGGAGGGCTCAGCCAAGCCCCACTTGGGGCCTGGGGCCACGTGGGTGTGCCACGGGAATCCCGCCACAGGAATCTCACCACAGCATGGTCCTCAATGCTGGAAGGTGGAGAGCCACCCGGGAAACTCACCCCTGCCCCACTGCCTTGCCCCCAAGCCCGAGAGCAGCTCTCGGCCCCGCCAGGCAGAGTCCTGGCCCTCCTGGCTACGTCTCGGGGAGAAGCTTACTCTGTCTCCTGCTGGGTAGAAGGAAGTCCCTCCCAGAAGGCTGGAGAGTGTGGGTGTGGACGGCCTGGATGCCCGGGTGGACTGAAGACGCTGCACGGGAGTGTGGGAGATGTTTTATTGGCTTTCACTTTCCTCAGGGAGCCAGCAGCTCCCCAGCAGGTCCCCACGGGGGAGCCGAGTAGGCTGGGAGGGTTGGGTGCCTACTTCGGTTCAAAGAGATCTGCGTATTTACAGAGGGGACGGAGACCAGAAAGGAAGTGGGAAATGGAATCAGAACAGCCACAGCACGGGCCAGCTCCGGGCCCTCACCCCGACCCACCCAGCCCACCCCCCACGCTAACGCATCAGAAACAGACTTCACAGATGCACAGAGGAAGCCGGAGGTGTGGGCGGGCCGGGGGCCGGGGCTGTGAGGGACCTCAAGGGTGAATGCCACTGGCCTGTCCCAACCAGGCAGGGAGAAAGTAGGAGAGCCACAGAACAGTAACGACCGTGTCTCCGCCAGCACTTCCGACGCCTCAGGAAACGGGGGACTTTGTTTTTGAGTAAGAGCAAGAAGTGTCCTGCTCAGGCCACCCCCACTACCCCCCAACCCCCAGCTCAGGGAAGCCCACTGGCCTGCAAAGCTTTGTCTTTTTTTAATTTTTATTTTTTTGAGACAGAGTCTCACTCCGTCACCCAGGCTGGAGTGCAGTGGCATGATCTCGGCTCACTGCAACCTCTCCCTCCCGGGTTCAAGCAGTTCCCCTACCTCAGCCTCCTGAGTAGCTGGGTTTACAGGTGCCTGCCATCACACCCAGTTAATTTTTGTGGTTTTTAGTAGAGACAGGGTTTCACCATCTTGGCCAGGCCGGTCTTAAACTCCTGACCTCGTGATCCACCCGCCTTGGCCTCCCAAAGTGCTGGGATTATAGGCATGAGCCACCACGCCCGGCCAGCCCTGTCCTTCAGGACTGTGCCTTCCCTGGGCAGAGACGGACTGCCCTGGCCATGGGGCTCCATGGCAGGGCCCAGAAGGAGAGAGAGAGCCCCAGAGAGGGAAGGGGGAATCCTGGGGCCAGGCTGCTGAGAGTAATCAGTGCCTCTTCCTGGGTGAGGAAGAGCTGCTTTCCTGATGGCTGGTGACCCGGGGTTTGGGGGATTTCTCTGGGGTAGCCATTGACGTCATTTCCTTAGCAGCAGGACAGCGAGTGGGAATTCCCGGGAATCCTCAGCCTGGGTGGGCGCTTGGTGGAAAGTGGGCTCAGGGTAGGCCTTCACACAGCAGCAGGAGGCTCCGGCTGCTTGGGGTCCACTGGGAGCAGGGTGGGGCTGGGCTGGACCTCCTGGATCCTGCTAAGAAGCAGGTGGGGGAGGTGACCTGCAGCTCTGTCTCCCTTGGGGACCTCAGTTCCTGTTGAGACCCAGAGCCTGAAGACCTCCGTCCTCAGGGTCCCTCTGCGACCAGCCCCTCATCACACAAGATGGGGAGACCGAGGCCCAAGGGTGGGAAGGGCCATCCAAGTCTCACAGGGACTGGGGGTTGTCAAACCCTGGGCCTCGGCTCTGCCCACCCTAACTGGCCCCGGGCTGCCTCCTGCCAGCTGGTTTCTGGCTGAGCACTGCGTCTGAGCATTTCCACACTGTTGCTCCCAAGGCAGATGGGCTGTGACATGGCCTCTCCGCCTCCCACCAACACGCCTGTCTGGGCTGAGCATCCCAAGGGCCCTGCTGCCCCCGACAGTCTCCCATTTAGGGCAACCTGTCCATCTGCAGGGAGCTCAGCACCTCATGTCTCAGCCTGGGCAGACGCTTGGCACTTGAAACGGAGTGTGTGTGAGAGAGGGGGAGGGAGGAGTGGGGGGAGAGAGGGAAAAGAGGCAGAGAGAGGCCCGAGTTCAGGGTGGAGGCACGGAATCCTTGGTCTGCAATCGCTGGGGTGGGGGTGCCTTACTGTAGGGCCCCGAGCCTCACTGAGGTCACCCCTTCCTTGAGCAGGTGAGGCTGAGGCCCAGGGATGGGGTGACCCATGGAGACCCCTCGGGTTGGCCAAGTTGCTGTGGCTGAGACAGAAGCGTCAGGAGCAACCATCCGTGCCCGGCCCGCTGTATGGTCAACTGGTCCTTCCAGCCCCAGATCCCAGTTGTGCCTCCCTGGGGACTTGTTTGTGTTCAATGAGCCTTATCCCTGCCTCGAGCCCTGGGGCTCCTCAAGCCTGGGCCTCCCCTGAGGACAGGGATTTGAGGAGGGCTCAGCCAAGCCCCACTTGGGGCCTGGGGCCAGGCGGGTGTGCCATGGGAGCCCTGCCATGGTCTCAGGACCCTCAGGGACTCGGGGGCAGGCCCCGGTCACACGTCAGTGCTGATGCTGCGGCTACGGGCGAAGGCCTCCCGCATGGCAGAGAGGCGGTTGGGGTTGAGCGCCTGCAGCCCCTGGAAGTCCCCCGGGGGCAGCTCCACGTCCTCCTGGCTGACGCTCTTGTAGAGCACGCGCTCCCCGCCGTTCAGCACATCTTCTTCCTCCTCCGGCGGCTCCTGCAGGAAGAAGGCCGGGGGCTCGCAGTGGGAGCAGCTGCGGCAGAGGGCTCGGGCCTGCGGGGACTTCTGGCTGAAGGAGGTGGAGGCAGTGGGGTAGAGCGCCGGCCCGTTGGTCAGCACCAGGTTGCGGTTGGAGTGCAGCGGGGGCAGGTGCGAGTGGACGGCGAAGTCCGGCTCCTCCTCGTCCTCCTCCGGCTCGTCCTTCTTGCAGCAGTAGTACTGCGGGCAGAGGGATGGCGACCCTGCGGCAGCCCGCTCCCACCCCGGCACCCGCATGCAGGAAGGGCTAGCCCCAACTGGGCAGGGGAGACAGGCACAGCGGGCATGGGGCGGCCCAGGCCTGACACCTCAGCTGTTTAACTGGCGCTATGGGCCTCGCTCCGGCCAGGCACAGTGCGGGGTGCTTCGCGATGATCCACTCATCTCTTCCACCCAGCAATGCACAGTGTGACTGTTATTTCCATTTTGCAGGTGGGGATACTGAGGCCTGGAAGGGTCTGCAGCCCACATCGGCAGAGCCGGGAGGCACCGGCGTGGGCAGCTCTGTTGCCTCGCCCTGCACCGATGGCTCCCCCTCATCTCTCAGGGAGACACAGGGACCCTGGACGGCCCTGGAGTGCAGATGGGCAGGGAGGCTCACTGCGGCACTCCCTTGGGCTAAGTCCCTTCCCCTCTCTGAGCCTCATTAAAAGCCCCAGGTGAGGGGACTCAGGCACATCTCACTGAGCCCCACAGTGGGGTCCCGGCTGCCCTCTGCTCAGCGTCTCCTCTGCCACGAGGCTCTTCCCTACTTCTCGGGCCTTGACCCTTGTGGCCTTCATGTGGGGCTCCCTCCCGAGGTGGGGGCACCCTCCGGGCTGCCCCGCCTGTCCCTTTCCCCGCCCTCTGAGAGTACCTGGAGCCGGCAGTAGCACAGAACAGCAATGATGCAGAGCAGAATCACAGTCGCCAAGATGCCCCCAGTGATGACCACAGTCCCGGCTGTCATCCGCCCCCTTCTCCATCAACAGCCTGCAACACACACCGCCAGCTTTATAGCATCACGATTCCCCACCGCAAAAGTCGCCCGTGCTATTCTAGAAAACTGAGAAGACGAGCCTTGGGGGAAATAAAGCACCCTTGAGAGGCAGGAGCTCCACCAGGGACGGCCCACGGGAGGGGCCCCAGGCCCTGCTCTGCCTCTGCTGGCCTCTGTCCCTGTCCCAGCCTCAGTTTCCATATCCGTAGAAGGTGGACACTAACAGCACGGGGTTTTGTGACACGTTTACGAGCACGTCCCTCTGTGCTCAGTGTCGCACGCTCTCAATGAATGGCGCCCTTCCAGTCTGGCTCTACAAGCTCCTGCGGTTTTAAATTTACCCAAATGCAGTCATTCGCCAAACATACGGTTTTGTAACCTGCTTCCCTGCATTTGCGTCCGACAGGGTCACCGTTATTCTTCCAGATCCTCACATCTTCTTCTGCAACATAACCTCGAAGCAGATTCCATTGTTTAATGTAGCCAACCCCTTTCCTTTAAAATTTTTAATTGTGGTAAAACACACATAAAATATACCGTCTTAGCCATTTTTAAGTGTGCAGATCAGGAGCATGAAGTATATTTCACACTGTTGGGCGACTCATCTCCAGAATTTTTCATCTTGCAAAACTGAAAACCAATTCCTTTCAGATGTGTGGGTTTCTTACATTAAGGAAATATTTTTAGCAATGTTTTAATAAGCGTCTTTGGAGCTAAGTCACGGGAACCACCTGAACCTACTTCGGTGGCTTTCAGGACACATTCCTAGACGTGGGATTTCCAGGCCCAGGGACGTGCCCTTTGCAAACTTCTTATTGTGGAAAACGTCCTCCAGACACAACGCAGAGAGACTGTAGTGACGTGATCTATCCGTGCCTGCTGGCATTTAGCTCTTCCCTGTCCTGTGGTAAGCTGATAAACCAGTTCTAAAAGCACCCGTCTGGGAGCGTTTGCTGATTTTTGTGCTGTAGATTTTCTTGCCATGGCCGGTTTCAGTTAAAGCAAGGTTTGACAACCGGCTTACAAAATTCCTGAACGTTTCACTGTCACCTCTCACAAACCAGTTGGAGCCGGCGCCATCACAATGGCCCAAGCCTCGGTTTTTTTTCCTTGCTGGGGGATGGGGTGGAGGAAGAGATTGGAGTATTTAAAGGAAATCACGGAGCATATCCGTTTACCCATAACGACTTCAGTGCGGAATCTGACGGATGAGGATTTTTAAAAAAAATTACCCAGCCTACGTTCAGCAATCTCTGTCATCTCTGAAATGCCTTTTTCACAGTTGGTTAGTTCAAATCAGGATATTGGCTCTTTTTGCTCCAGAACAGCTCGAAACTCATTCACGCCCCCCACCCCCATGCTGTTTATTGGAGAAAATGGGCTGTTTATCTGACAGCATTTTCCACGCCCCGGAGCTGGCCGGGATTCCTTGCCTGGCGTTTGAACGTGCTCCTTTATCAGTGTTCTCCCAACTGGCTTCCTGCTGCGTCTCTTCCAGGGCCTGGTGTCTGCCGCCCCTCATCCTGATGTCACCATTTGCTAATGGCCGCAGCTGCCCTTGGCCAGCCCCTCCAGTGTCAGGTCCTGTGGGCTCCCAGCACACTGCTGCAGGGGGGGCTGTGCATTCACCTGGCTCCGTCACTTCACTGGGAGTTACAAAGTAGCGAGACTTTCCAAATGTCGTCTTTCTTCCACGTGTTTAAGGGCCCCAGTTCTTCCTGAAAAAGCTCCAAAGCACGTTCCCTTCTCATCTGTGTGGTTACCCTAGCGTGCAGCCTGCAGAGGGAAGGCTCGGAGGTTCCGTTCCTGCCTTTATCCGGGATCAGAATGAGCTGGTGCCCTGTGAGGTCTGTGGACGTTTACAGTACCGATGCAATCTCACTGCTTTTTGAAAATAGATTTAACATGTTTCAATCCACTGCAGTGGTATTCTTTTTCACGTTCCATTAATTCCACTGGGACCGTGTGGCACGGGGGGGTGTGGCGCTTACTTTTGAAGATAAGTAAACTGAGGCCTGGAGAGAAGTGAGCTGCCCAGTACCCCAGTAAGATGAAGGGTCTGGGTCGGGTCAGGGCTGGATCCACTGCTCCCATCCACCCTGGGGCCCCTGCCGCCCTCTCCTGACTGCTGAATTCCGTGTCTCCTCCACACAAACAGCCTGAATGCCACAGCATCTTTGGGGGAGCACACGCTGTGCTGATATCAGGATTGGGGGTGCTGGCCTAGCTGTGGCCCTCTTCTTTGTCCCCTGAGCCAGGAGGCTGGTGGCCACATCTGAGCCATCTGCTCCTGACCTTTGGGCCACAGCTTATTGGTTTGGGGTGGACGTGCACATGTTGGAGACGCAGAAGGCACCGGTCCCCGGAGGGAGTGGGGAAGGCCGTGGCCGCAGGAGAGACTGCTGCAGTGGTCCCGACTCTGGTGCCGATCCCACAGAGTGACTCCTGCTGTGTGTGTCACCTGGAGTGCATTTGAGCTATTTGCACCCCGTAATTATGGCCCAACTTCATCAATGAGGGCACTCGCACAGCTTGGGAGGGGTTCTGGGAGGTAGTGTTGTCTGCGGTCATGCAGGGATTATAATTCAGCACTGCCCTCCACCAGGGGCCATGGCTGGGGCCCACGGCTGGGGCTGACCGATAGCAGGGACCATGGTGTTGCCACAGGGAAGCATATGCCTGGGTCAAGGGGCTCCCACTGCTGTCAGGCTGAGACTGCAGGGAGGATGGAGACTGCGGGCGGCTGTGGGTGGGCTGAGGAGCTCAGGGATGGGTACAGGGGAGCCATACAACACACCCGGGCTGGACTCTCAAGCGCCAGCCTGGCCCTACCTCTTGTTAACTATAAGAATGGGCCTCCAATGCCTCCATTCCTCTGCCTCAGTTCCCTCCTCTGTAAAGCGGGAGAACCCCAGGTGTTCTGTGGGATGGAAGTGCATGTGCTCAGTGCCATGCTGATGTTATTAGGACCTCGTCCCTCTCGGGGTCTAAGTCCTTCCTCAGGTCTCAGAAAAAGACTGCTTGCTCTAAAGCTCCCTTTCAGGTCTGAGATGCAGCTGGTCCCTGGCTCCGCCCGGCTGCAGCTCCTCCGGGCCCAGGTCTCCTCCAGCAGCGAGCGGCCTGGCAGCGTGACGGGAAGGGTGCCGGCTCAGGCCAGGTGCCCAGGGCTGTCAGCAGCCACCCTCCGACACCCGGGCCGGTCCAGCTGGAGCCTCTTAGCCTCGCTTTGCAGATACACGCCCGCTGAAGAGCAGCAACGCCCGAGACGGCGCCAGGTCCCAGGGCCAGGCACAGCCGACAGACACACACTCCGCTGGCAGCTCCGCCGGCGCCCGGCCTGACATCAGCCCCCAGTTCACTCTGAGCAGCTCCCAGGAGCAATGGGGCCTCACTGGGCCCCCACCCTCCTGCTGCCCCTCTGCTCTTGCTGCGCCCCACCCTCTGGAATGCCCATCCTCCCAGACCTACCCACCATCAAAGGCAAGCATGTGCCCTCCTCCTCCAGGAAGACTTCCTGAACTTTTAATGCACACCATAGAACTTCAAAACTTCAAATTCCAGAGCTAAGAGGGACCACGTCCCACTTTTTCATTTAATGGGGTAAGAATACGGACCGCCTGCTGCCCTCCCTGAGTGCTCACCTTCAGCCTCCTCCCTGCATGGACCCAAGGACTCTGCTTAGCTGTGGCCCAGGTGACATGAGCCTGAGGGGCCTCCGTCCTGCTCTACTCTTGCTGGTGACCTTGGGTCAGAGGCCTGTCTCTGGGTTCAGTTTTCTTATCTGTAAGATGGGTATGGCAGGGCTTAGACACTGATTCCTCCCAGCGCTGGGGGACTTGGATTTTTAATCAACCCTGCCAGGAATCCAGATGATTCAGACACACAACAAAGTCAGGATCACAAACGTAAAAAAGCATCAAGTGATAAAGTGGTAAAGCCAGATGACACCCTCCAAGGGTGGGCAGAGAAGGGAAGGGCTACAGACACTTTGGCCCCCAAGGACACTTGAGCTCTGAGAAAGCTGAGTGCCTGAGAGAACCGGGGAGGACCTGGGTGCTCAGGGTGGTAATGGATCGGGGAGGAACCAAGGGGAACTCCCTGGAGGAGGAAGCTTCTGAGCTAGGCCTTGAAGGATGGGCTGGGAGAAGGAGAGGGCCTATGGGTGCTGGGAACAGCACAGGCCAAGCCTTGGAGGCAGAGC